ACTCCAGCTGGGATCTCACCAGAGCAGAGTGGAGAGGTAGAATTGCCTCCCTCTACCTGCTGGTCAGGCTGCATTTCGTGCAGCCCAAGATATAGTTTGCTTTCGGGGATGGAAGCTCACATTCCTGGGTTCTGACCAGTTTTTCAGTCAGATGACCCTTTTCCTGGGGGACTTAAAAAAATTGGGTGAATTTTTATGCATTTTTATGGGGAAAATATGTTTTTCATAACAAAAATATTAATAATTTTTAGTCAAATACAGGAAATAGGTTTCTGTGAGATTTAAAAATTGAAAGTAGAGACAAAATGTGAAAGCTCTTCATTTCAAAACAGGTGCATTTGAAAAATGGAGACATTAAGAAAAAAAGTAAAACTTTGTTTTCTTAGATTGGTCAAAACAACAAAGAAGCTTATCTTTACACAGAAACAGAGATTTATTTATTTTTAAATAACCTCTAAAATAAAAAAGGGGAAACCCCAAAAACTAAAACCCAATGCCCAAGTAACTACTTTATATTTTTTTTTCTTTTTTCCCTTTTTCTTTTTTTCCTTTCTTTTTTTCTTTTCATTTTTATTTTTCTCTGTTTTTAAATGTGACCAGATTCCCCAGGCAGTATGAATTTAGAAAATCTGAGAGGAGAAATTACTTGATCTGTATGACACATAGTTCTATAGAATAAGTGCTGAGAGAAAAAAGGCAATACTTACTACCCTTATAAACTGGCATCATATACATTATAGGGAAATCATAACTGTTGAATCCCTCATTGGGAGGACATGATGAGAATGGAAAATATGCTTAGACACTGTCCACTCACATGAAATTGGACAGCAAAACATAAAAGGAAACCAGCAAACAGGGCATGAGAGAGGATGTAACATCCAGCTTCTCTGCCAATGAACTCAAGGGCTAACTCTCTTCCTTAATCTTTGGGAGAAGATGTACTTACCAACAGCAATCCCACCAGAGTGACTTCCAACATGTGGAGGACCCAGTCAGAATCTGACTGCCCAAGTCCCTAAGACACACTGATATCTGCTGGTATAAATCAGTTTATTTCCAACCTCAGCACAAGTTTTCGTGAATAAAATTTTCCTTTTGGTTGATGCCCGGATTCAGAAAGAAGAAAAGGCTAAAGTCAACAGCTCTTCAGGTTGATGGATAGTGTTTTAAGTTCTCTTCTCCCTTTTCTACACGTACTAAAGACATTTCTTGTGTTTCCAGTAAGACACCTATGTATGAAACACGCTTTTGTAGGTGCTCAGGTAATTCACCCAAATTCCCCAGGAAGATATGCAAGTCAGGTAAAAGTATGAAACCAGTAAGGGTACTGGCATAAGCATCTGAGACAGGAACCTGTGGAAGAGGGATAAATTGCCACTGCCCATACACTTAGCTCATTGATGGGTTAATAATTTCATGCTTAGAGGTTCTTCATTGAGAACAATGGGCAACAGCTGCTAATGGGGTCTGACACCAGCGCCCTTGGGATGAAGAGGAAGGTTAATTGAATTCTAGTGAGGCTCCCTTTGTATTTCAGAGCAATTGAACAAACCAGGGCAGTCAACTTCCCAGCATCAGCCTATGCATTGTGGCAAGTTCATCTGTGGTGTGACTAAATTGCCTTCAATAGCAAGAATGAATTCAGCCTCTGAAAGACAGATTCAGGGAGACTGAGATAATCCTATTGGAAGTTTTGATTGACAATTCAGGCCAGTGTTTGTTTTTGGTTGTGGAAGTATTGCAGAAGGAATGGGCATTTTGTATGGGAGGTTGCTTGCTGGTCCTCCAAATGTACTCTTACAACAGTGCAAACTCTTCTACTTCAGTTATTCATGGACACTCTAATCTGCATGGGCATGTTGTGAATAAAAGAAGAGAACAAAATAGATTATTCTCACAAAGTTATTCACTTGCTCTTGGCATTTAATCTTCTTTGGCTTCTCAGAAGCTGTGATACTGGTCTTTGAATGCAGCAATACTGAATGTAATGTTATTTTGAAGATGTTTAAGCCTGATTGCTCCACATTAGTTAAAACAAAGATGGTATTTTCAGGTTGGAAATGCATACTTTATGTTTTCAGTTCTTAATTCAGTTGGATGTATTCCAAAAGCAGATGGTTTCAGGTTATTAGTTTCTTCATTAAAAAAAGTGATTGTCTGAAATCTGACCTGACTTTGGAATGATACTGACATACATCTTTGTTGTGTGTTCTCAGGCTTCCCACAAGCAGGTTTTTATTTGAGCACTGACAATATACACTACACTTTTTGTCCAAAAAAGCCATGAACACTTATGAAACAGATCTTTCTTAGTGGATGAAAAGATGCCTAAACAACTTCCTTTTTTCATTTGTATAGGGTGACTCTGCAGGTAATAATATTCCCCGAACAATTTTTTGTTTACCTTTGCTTAGGAGCTATTTCTAAAGCCTTTCTCTAAGGCTGTCTGGACTCTCTGACTTCCTGACACACTGCTTCCTCTTTGTATCTCTCCATTGTTGGTTCAATCTCTTTGAACTCCAGTCATTCTTCGACTCTCTTCTCTGCTTTTCACCTTCCTGTGCAAACGTGCATTGGTTTCTCTGCTGCAGAGTAGGACACTCTTTAGTTATGTTGGCAGTGCTGTGCAAGGGAGGTTTTTACCTTTAACTACTTGCTTGTGTGCCTGCGTATATATTATTTTAATATCTTTGTAACTTCATTCCACTTCCTATATCTGCAAAAGAGACACACATATATCCAGGCTCTGAAGCAAAGAAAAAATGGGTTAAATAAAAATAAATAATGAACAGCCCTATTTAGTGCCATCTTTTGATTGAGACCCCTTGTGGCAGTACTGATGAGGTCAGTTGCTGGAGTGAAAAAAACCAAAGACCCTCAATTGCAAGAGTTTGAAAGCACTCTACGTAATCCTGTACAATCCACAGAGATTGTTACTATGCAGCATTATCATGGATGAGCCACGTACAGCCAATAAAACCAGAGGGAGGAATATTGCTTAAAGCAACTCACTTTTATTGACAGTGTACTGTAAGGCAAGGAAAAAATGTTTGCCAGATTTTTTAAAAAGAAGGCTTGCAGCAAGAATGATCTGCAGTTCAATGTATTATTGAACTGTCAAAGATACTCTCTTTTATAAATCCAATATTTATCTTTTTGTTATATATACAAAAGCTCAACTTAAGCACAAAACAGAACAAAGTAATGTATTTGCATATGAAGTTTTGTTGATGGGTTCATGATCTAGTAAACAAGAGAATGCACACATTCTTTTACTATAGAGTTACAGTTGACTATATTTAAACTTAAACATACCCCAAAACACATAAACCCCCCACAAAATACAGATGAGTTCAATATGATTATTGTAGAAGAAAAATCTAAACAGTGTTCAACCATACACTGGGAAAAAACATTGACAGATGCCCAGAAAGCAGTATTTAATATTGAAAACTAATTTTGCATTTTTGGTGAAGGCATCTGTGTGTTTTTGCTGTTGTATTCTGGCCATTTTAGATTAATCTCTTGGCCAGAAAAAAATTGCAAAACACTGGCTTTTGTCTGCTTTTGAAAGGATATATTTTTGAAGTGGTGATGTAAATAAACCGTGAGCCTCTTACAAGATCTCACATCAGGCCATGTTAGAGCAAACTATCATTTCCATAGGAAACAATGGTAACAGAAAGGTCCCAGCTATGCTATAAAACCTAGTCAGGGGCCAAGCAACAAAATCTGCAACCTCTTAGATCTTCCCTGAGGGAAGGGCACAATTTTACCCCACATTTTTTGACAGCTTTAGATTCTGAAACTAGCAAACACGGTTGTGTTTTGTGGCTCTCCTCCTCCACCTCCATATCCGTATAGCATTGGCCTTTCACTGGAACAGCTTTTATGAAAGCGATAGCTGCTTTTTCACTGGCGATAATGTAGTGCTATTGGTGGCTCGTAAAACAAGTGAAGGCCAACATGTCAAACGTGATGTGCTAGGATAAAAGGGACAAAGGTACTTGGCCACAGCACCGCACCATGCCTTACCTTTGCAGGCCTGTAGCATGAGCAGTAACGTGGGTAAGTAAAATTCTACCTATGCAGGCAAAACTGAATGTATTTTTAAAGACATACAATACTACTTTGTAATTAGAATCCCTAACATGCTAATTTTTATCACGGACAAGAAGAAAACCTTAGGAGTACACAAGTAAAATGGGACCCAATTAAAAAAAAAATAATACGCCATACATATATGTAACCAGAATATGCTGAAAAAGAAGCATAAACCCATGTTTTTCATGTGAAAATCTTCTGCTGGATGCTTAAATGCACAGTTTTTCATGAATTTTTTTCCTTCCCCCCCACCCCATTTTTTCTATGAAAATCAAGCTCTTTGCATAATTAACCAAACCTCAAAGATATTTACATTTTAAAAGCCAATCCTTCACCTTCTAATTTTAAAATGAGTAATCCTGTATCTTGCATATTTTAGTGAAAGCTTAGAATTGTAATTTAGTATCTGTACTTAGTAAAAATACTTGCCTTGAACATGAAGTCAGTGCTGACCTCTTCAGGTCATTTGTGAACAAAATTTTTCTAGAGAAATGTTACTAAGTAAGGAAAACACAATGAGAAGAAATACATTAACCCTGTATTTTAAAGTGTTGCCACTTTAAAGTATGGTAAAGGTTGAAGGAAAACACAGAGGTGTGTATGTCAAATTTTCACTATGATTTTACAGAACACATGACACCCTTCAATGCTCTGTCTGCTAAAGGCAATTTAGTCTTTCTGGCTTTGTTAGTACTGCTATAGTATACAAGTTTCTTAGAGTACAGTTAGTACCTAGAGAAGTCAATTCTAACACAGAAGTGTGGGCTACACTTCATATGGCAGGAGGATAAGCGTAAGAAAAAATTTATACATTGATTTTAAAGAAATCATACATCACAGCATCCTTAATTCTAAACATAGAAAATTAGACTGTGGTATGACTTAAATGCTTCTCAGATATCAAGAAGGTCCTCTCCACTCTCATCACTCTCCACAGTTAATTGTCTTGTCCACCATTTCTTGACTTCTGATCCACAGGAAGCAGCATCTGACATGGGATTCATTTTGCATGCAACAGATTTCATGGTTGAACGTCCACCAAAACGGAGGTTGACTGAAGACACTGAATGGCTTATTGGTTTGGGGGCTAGGAAATCAAACAGAAAGTTCAGAAAGTTCTGTATTAGAGTAGTTCTGCTTCTTGAACATTTTTGCTTAGAATTCAGGTATAGAGAACTAGCTAGACTAGGGCACCTTTAAACTGATTTAGTTCAGAAAGGGTAGGGCTTTGTTCTAATTTGTTTGTTTGTTTTCCTAGCTCCAGATGTTCACACTGCTCCCAACTAATCTGCTGGCAGAGCAGTTTAACTGAGCAGCGCCTCATTTCCTTCTGCTGGGATAACTGATGCAAAAGATCTCTTCTTATCGAGCTAATTGCAACCTAAATGATTTAGGCAGCACTTACATGAGCTAACCTGCTGGCAAAACAGTGACAGCAGTAAATGTGAGGAACGGGGGTGGGGGTGGGGAGGTGCTTTTAGCATTGGCAGCTACATCTAGAAAGTGATACTTTACAATGGCCTAGGGGTTGAAACAGGTACAAGTTGCTGGTATGGCACTAAACCACGTGTCACAGTATATATGCCCCACAACTGATTCTTAATTATGTTATTCATTATCTTAAATACCTGTCTCTGCTGTACTAGAGGCAGACTACTTATAATATAGCTGTATTGTGCATGGAAATTACCCTCTTTTTTAGGATCATCCACTGAGGAATGTTCAAAACTGACACAGACAAGATCAGTGCTAAGAAAGGAAACCCTGGGCTATTCATTCTTTCAAGATTTCTCACTTGAAAAACCTGTGCAGTTGACTACAAGAGTATGAGTCCTTAGCATGCTTCTTCTCACTCTTTCTCTCTTTTCCAACAAAATGTTGATCTTTGCTGCTCAGTGATATTTAAATGGAAATCATGGATTGAAAGCTTTCTATTAAACTATCCTGTTTCTTGGACAAATACACTGGCAACAAAAATAGGGTCAATGGTAGTCAACAGAACAGCATTGCTGTCCCTCCTGCTTCCACTTAGACATGATTAGGGTCTGAACAGCGGCAGCCTTTGAGGGCAGCACTCTGATTCAGAATAGAACTGACTGATGGAAATCAGTCCTGAGCAACTGTATGAAAAAGTAAAAAATTTAACCACTTGCACAGGGCAATGCTTGAGCCCATCTTCCAAACTTTCCGAATTGTGAAGAAAGGTAGAAACTGCTTTATTCCAACAGGCATGAGGACAGGAAAGCCCTGATGTGGGTGCAAGCAGCAGCCAGGAGGGAGAATTGTGAATCATGAAGCCTTTCTTGGCCTTGTCATTACACAACAGCAATTTTGCATGTGGGGACTTTACTGATAAACCTTTTTTACTTACCTGATGGCAAGCGCCATTGTCCAAATTTCCGCTGAGGTTTCCCAGCATCTCCAGTGTCTTGTCTATAGCCACCTCTGTCAGAAAGTGTTGGGCTAAGGAGCTGCTGCTGGCTACTTGTCTGAACAAAGAAAAAGGAATCTCATCATAGCTCCGCTGGGTAACCCTAGGAAGGGATACCTTTCTATTCTGTTTCAGGCTTTATCAATGAATACCAACAAAACATATTGCCATTGGTTAGGGCAGCATGCCTTCTGCTCTTTAATACCCCAGAAAACTACCACTAACAGACAAAAGCAAAAAGGTCATGTGGACTCTCAATGCCATTCATCCTATTGAAGGATATGGACTTATTCTCAGCCTACTACAACCATTGTGGAAAGCAGCCCTTATGTTAGTAGCCCTTCTATACTTCCTATCCTGTTCAGAGGTCCCAGCTTGCCCAGTTCTCCCTCTCAGTGTAAACACTACTTCAGAATGCCTGAACTGGAAAGCTTCACTTCCCCAAGCCTGCACACAGCTCATGCAAGAGCTGAAAGCTGTGGCTGACAGAATCGTACCGCTGAGCTTTCTCCTTTATGGTGATACCAAGATGGTCAAATATGTTGGGTAATTTCTGCCTTAGAGCATCTTGCCTTTGCATCCGATGGCAAAGACTGAAGCAAAGAAGGTATTAGTTTTTATTTTTTTTTTTCAGTTAAAATGATGTTTAAAAAAGAACAAATAAGAAACATGGAAGTTGTCAGAATTTGTTATGAGTAGCTGATAGTTTTCTGGATAACATACCTCTGGCTGTGCACTGTTATCTTGATTAAGAGCATTCATATCTTCACTTGGCTGTGTTGTCTCAATGCTGGGAGGATTCAGAAATCGGCTCAGCTCCTGCTGTTGGCTCTCTCGTAGGCTATGGATAATGCTGCACGACTGCTGCTGTTTCTATCAAGATACAGTATGTGATAAAAAAATGTTCTCATTGCTCTGTCACACCAACATGTTTGATTTTTTAAAAAAAGTATTCCAAGTATTTAACTGAACAGTGAACACCAGCTGTGGATTCCAGGTGGATCAATAAAGATCCATGTATTAGAAGCTGCTATTTAAATAAAGTGAATTCTAGCACATTTCTAACCTTTAGGGAATAGAGGATGCAATTTATGAACTACATTATGTGGAAGGCACATTGTTCAATCATTGGTTTAAACCTAATGTTTAAACACATACAAAGTTTTGATTTATCATTTAAAAGTTCTTGAAAAGAAAAAGAAACCAGGAATTGATAGAGATTCATAGGGAATTACATGAATGCAATGAAAAAATTCTGATTTCTTTCATGGACTTTGGAGCAGGCTGTCAATAAAACTGAATAAAATAGTAGTGAAAACCTTGGGACTAAATATAGATTTACAGTACAAATAGAAAGACAAACCTACTACCATGATGATTTTACAATCTAATTTTCTTTTAAATTAAAATAAACAGCACTTAGGAAGGGTTTCACTTTCCTGGGTAGTTTTCATATGATCCCTCTAGGGAGACTTAGAGAATAACAAGAGAATTTAAAAATATATCTTAACTTCCATAATTACATTCAGTTTATGAAAGGTTCATAGAATGTGAAATGATCTGAACCATATTATTAGAGTGAAATGAATAGCATATTTACTTTAACATAGTGTAGTTCAATATCATAATGAAATGAACAACAGAGTTGAACAAACCCAGAACTGAGAGCTGAGATTAAATTTACTGCCATTATTATCACAGAGATGAAATCAAAATGAAACTGTGTATCATTGAACACTGATGTTTCAGCTGGAATGTACACCATATTCAAAATATTCAGCTAAGTATTTGTATAAATTTACAAACAGAAGACAGACGCCATGATGACAGATCACTATGGAAAATCTCCTATCACAAGAAGTAATTTTTTACAAAAACAAAAAATACATGCGTCAAAAACCTGGAGTCAGACTCATAGTAACTGAAAAATCAGTCATCAATGCAATCAGGTTGTGACTTGGTCCATACACCTGCTTTCCATGTAGACACTGCTCATTTGCACACACAGTATCTGTAATGGCTCACTCAAACAATTTATTGTAATACAGGCTCCATCTGGAGAGTCATCTACAGGTTTCTCATCTGCCAGCAGAGGCAAGGAAATTATACAATTACATTATGTGATGAAGGATTAGGCCTACGAAATTCCATCTAATTAATTTTTTTTTAAAATTCCTTTAACTTTAGTCTCTTTATATGCACTTTCCTGTTGTATCGAAAAGACAGATAAAGTTTGGGCAGGAAGACAGTTTTGGCTTTCAAAAGATGCTTCTTTTTGTAGCAGTGTAGAGGTGTAACAAACAGCTCTATTTTTGCAGAGCTGTAACAAACTTTTTTTTTGCTCAGTTATCAACTGCTACATACTCCAGATAAGTATTATCATGACTCCAAAGTAAATGAAGCATGGGGACACAGATTGCAGCATTGCTGAGCACTTCAATTTATGCAAACATTTAGATACTGCTTTAGCTTGACTTACTGCTCTGATTCGTTTTAAGCACTTTTTCAGCCACATTCGTATGGTCTGCTTGGCCACCTCCTCTTCTATGGTATATTCCAGTTGCTCCCTGGCAAGCAGCTCTTCCAGTTGAAGACTTTTTCTGATATCAACAGACCTATATGAAAGCATGCTGGAAGAAATACAATTTATTTATTTTAAAATTCTGGTGTCTGCATTGTTTAGAGAATCAAAGCTCATACTTAAGACTTTAGTGTGAAAATACATAATTCAGGTGTGCAAAGTAAATTCACATTTGAAGGTAAAAAAAAATTGCTGAGATGATTCTAGATGAGACTTACTGTGCTCAAAACAAAGACCTGATCACCTACATCCAGCTATCCAGTACAGGTGAACTGCTGAACTGTAAGCAATTAGAGCATTTGTGGTGGTTTGGGTTTTTTTTCCTCCCCTAAGTGTTTATGCTTGGATAATGTTCCCATTTCTATTTTATTTCTATCAGACCCACTGTCACGTTGCTACACATTTCATGAAGGCATTAGTTGGGATACAAAAGGAACATGTGACTGTAGTTTGTGACAGCCTCCTGCAATGATAATGTTAAAATTACTTAGAGCTGTTTCCCTAGGACCTGTGCTTGCCATCACTAATATTTTCGTAGGAAAAAGAGGGAAATCTAATTTTTGTAAAACATTTACAATTGCAGTGCCTCTGTGGCTATGAGTCTTTGCCTTCTCCCAAGCCTAATGGCTACCTGATAGCCTGGAAAGAAACACAGGCTGTTATATCTGTTCTAAAAATGTGGAGAAAATCTCGGTGTACCTGAGCACGTCATGGAAAGTGACATCGCCACCATTGTGGAGCCGCTCCATTTCATAGCACATGTGCTTGAACAGCAGCTTGTCCTTGTCGAGATCCACCTCCAGCCTGCCTCGCAGAAGCCTCAGCAGGAATTTCACTCGGAAGGTAGGGATTACACCCTGTGTCAAATTACATAATTGATGGTAAATTATTACTGTGATCTAACAAGCAACTCAGACATCCAACTTGATCACTGAGAGAAAAACTATTTCTCCTGGTGTTGTGGTGCACCAGTTTAGTTGTTCTCTTGCACTGGGTGATTGGGAATTTGCGCAGAATAGTTTTATATTGCACTGTATAGCTTGTTATGTCATGTGGTTTGTTACCCCTTTTCCCCCATCACAAGGTCTTTCCCTCACCTATCCCAGAACCACCTGGTGGTCTTTCCCCTGGGTTACCCCTCCTCCTCACTGGTGTCCCATTGGCTGTGGACCTCTCCCTCTGTCCCCATCCCGGGGGGTATAAAAGCTCCCTGCTGCCAAGGAATGTTCTCTTTTTCCTCCCATGGGTTTGTCTCCCCTGATGTGTGTCTTGGAATAAAGGACAACATTTCCCACGTGGAGCAGAGCGCTTCTCAATCTTTTACCTTCATCTACGAAGTATCGTGTGGGCAAGGGTCTATAGCTAGCCGGAGTGGACCCCAACAGCCCAGGCATCCTAGAATATTTAAGTCACTGTGAACACATTGCTGAAGAATGTGCACAATCAGCCCATTCTTCAGAAAATTCACAGAAGTCTTTGTGGTTATTTGACTCATACACAATGAGAATCCATGCTGTTAATTTTGCCAGAATTTTTCAAAATTGCTTGGGGATTTAGTTTCCCCATTTACATTCATCTGTAATTAGAACCATATTCCCAAAGAGCTGCCTTTGTAAAATGGAAATGAAACTATAGTTTAAACACTCATAGCCATGTCTATAATTTGTTGTAAACCTGTGCCCTTCTCTGTGCATCTCTCAATGAGCAGGAGAATGTTGAGAGTTTACTGGCTTTTTAAAGGTTATCTGCTCTAAGAGGCAGCACATCCAGCATTTTTGGTGATGACAATTTCTATCTGTTGTTACAAAATTAAGACTGAGTGTATTTCTCTCTGAAACTGTGGTATTGACAATCTTCAAATATCTTTTGTTCTGTTAAACGAGCCTCATCAGAACTATTTTTGCTGTAAGGTGTTCCACATCAGAGAGATTCTGTCATTGCTGGGCACCATGGATTCAGAACTCTCTGCCCTCATGAGTACAGACTGCAGCTTCCCTCTCCAGCACAGCCATGAGCCAAGTACAGTCAACCAACTACTTTCACCATAATGTTGATTGCATTCAAGCGTCAGTGATGTCATGAATCATTCAGATGATGATTTAATTTGTGTGGGCATCTGAGCAGCTCAGTCTCCCAGATGTTGTTCTCATTTCAGAATCACAGAATGGTTGAAGTTGGAAGGAAACTCTGGAGCTCACCTTGTCTCACCCCTCTGCTTAATCAGGGTCTCCTAAAGCCAGGATCAGGTCCAGATGGCTTTTGAATATCTCCCAGGATGGAGACTCCACAAATTCCCTGGGAAAACCTGTGCCAGTGCTCAGTCATCATCACAGTGACAAACAGTTCCCTGATGTTCAGAGGTAGCTCTTGTGTTTCAGGTTGTGCCCGTTGCCTCCAGTTCTGTCACTGGGCAGCACTGAGCACAGCCTGGCTCTGTCCTCTTTGCTCCCTCCCTGCAGGTGTTTATACACATTGATGGGATCCCCCTGAGCCTTCTCCAGGCTGAACAGTGCCAGTTTTCTCAGCTTTTCCTCTCAGGAGACTTGCTCCAGTCTCTTCATCATCTTTGTGTCACTTTGCTGGACTCTGTCCAGCATGTCTGTGTGTCTGGGTACAGAGGAACCCAGAACCAAACCAGGATTCCAGCTGTGGCCTCACCAGTGCTAAGCGGAGCCAAAGGACCCTCTCTGCCTCGGCCTGCTGGCAGTACTTTGTCTAATACCACCCAGGACACCAGTGGCTGTCTTTTCTACAAGGTCAATGGTGGCTCATGTCCAGCTTGGTGTCCACTGGGGCCCCAGGTTTTTACTGCCAAGCTGCTTTCCAGCTGGGTGTCCTCAGCACATACTGTGCCTTGGTTTATTCTTCAGGTGCAAGACTTTGCAGTTTTCCTTGCTGAACTTCATGAGGCTTCTGAGGCCTGTGAGGGTCCCTCTGGATGGCAGCATGTCTCTGTGGCATATCAGCCACTCTGCCCAGCTTGGTGTCATCACCAAATGTGCTGGGGGTGCCCTCTGCCACTCTGTCCATGTCATTAATGAAGATATTGAACAGGACTGGAGCCAGTATTGACCCCTGGGGCACACAACGAGTTCCTGCCCTCCAACTGGAACCTGTCCTGCTGACCCTCACCCTCTGGGCCTGCCTATGCAGACAGTTTTCAGTCCACTTCATTGTCTTCTCACCCAGCCCATGCTTGATTAGCCTCCCCATTAGAATTGTGCAGTGCTGAAATCTCAGCAAAGATCTTCTAAAGATCAGACACAAAAAATGGATACGAATCTGTAGACTTCCAAGGGAAAAACTCTCAGGGAGCTGGGAGGAAAGATGCTCTTATATTGATTCTATAAATAGGTATGTTTGTTTGTAAAACTGCTATTAAAAGCACTTCACAAAATAGAGGTTAATACCTGAAGGGCCATGAACAACATAGATCACACATCTCAAATTTGAACAGTAACTGCTCAGAGAATTCTGTCACACTCTTTCCCCCTCATATTTCTTTTCAAGAAAAACTGGAAATTTACTGTATCTCTTTTTATTATCAAGAAATTATTATTTCTTACCTCTCTTTTGTCATCAACCATGTTCCATATAATTTGAAAATGCCTTAGGTCATTATAACTTAGAAGCTGATCTTCTTCAGTTGAGTAAAACAATGAGAAATTCTCCACAATGATAGCTGAAAACCACAAGAAGAAAATACACTGAAAGAAAGCCTGCAGTTACATTGTAACAATTAATTCTGTTGTGCAAACTCCATATTACAAATGCCTGTATGCTAAGACAAGGAGTTTCAATGCATAATATACTGTCTTGCCACACCAATATTCACCATGCTTTTTAAAAGCTGTATCTTAAACGCTGGAATATCTCTTTGTTCCAAGCTTTCCTTCCCAAACTTCCTGAGATTTAGCATTCCTGTGCCAAAGAAGTATCAAAATCATTATATGCACGCAAGGTAACACTGAAGGTACAAGGTAGCCTCATACTGAACAGCACAACAGACTCACATCTAACATATTGCATGCCAGGATGTACCTTGTTGTTATTAATGTCTATTTTCACTTACCAACAAGCAAATTTAGCATGATGTATGCAATGATGACATAGAAAGAACAGAAATACATAAGAGCACCAGCATAATTTCCACAGTCTGTTTTCCAGTAGGTGCTGTTATCTGGTGTACAAAATGGAGGCTGAACCTTCAAAACAAAAGAAAACAAAGTAAAATAGTAGTAGTAGTAGTAATAATAATAATAACAATAATATAATATTTAAGACTATTATTTCTTTAAGGCTTCCCAATGAGGGAATAATACTGTGGGCAGTATTGTGAGCAGGTTGTTTTTCTTCCATTAGTAGACAAAAATCAGGAAAGAGAGAGAGGTATGACAAAAAAGGCTGAGGCACAGATCTTACTACAATACAGAGGGCACATTGTGCATTATGCCACTGTACAGGAACAAGCTGGTGCTTTGAAGCACAGTGATTTTCAAAATGTTTCTTCCCTGCTCATTAATTTTAAAAAGGAGAGGCATGTGGTCTTCCTTGCAATGGAAAGCACAGACAAACATTTACTTGGGCAAAATATAATGATTCAAGGAGGAATTTTGAGGTCATCAAGACTATCATTCACATGGAATAAGCCAAAGTGCAGGAATCAAAGACAAGGTAAATCTGAAAAGACACCTTGCCCCAGTCAAAGCAGAGATAACAGTGAAAAAGTGAGTTACTGCATTTCTGATTTTCAAACTACCATCTATTTTTTGGTTTAAATCATCTAATGGCCTAGCTCTACGAAATACTATACTGTGAGTATGAGACTGGAACTGCAATTTGTGCATCATGTTCTGAGGTTTAGTGAACATTATTTTCTTGAAGAAATAAAGGCAAGCCCAACATTCCTTGTACAAAGTTAAGATACTGAAAACAGTTTGAGATGGAAGGGTATCTCTCATTTCCTGAAGTATTTCTTGTCTCATTTCTTTATCTCTGGTAGTATGTAATTACCATGCAGTCATGCATAATTTTGTTCCAGTCTTCTCCAGTAACTATTCTGAAGAGTACAGTAATAGCCTTGCCAGCTGATGAAAAATTTGCATGTCTGTTTTAAAGAAAGAGAGAAAGATTGAGAGTGAGAGATCGTTTCACTTCCCAGAATTAAAACATTGCCAAGAAAAAAATGTTTCCATTTTCTACTGTTCTTCTATTTTAAACTAAAAATAATTACAGTATTATTTGAATGATCCCATTGAATTATTTATTTAATGACTTAAGATACAATAACTGAACTCTAGCTCAGACAGAGGTTTGAGTATTTTATCTCATTTGATCAGAGAACTAAAGAAAACTCAAGGCCAGATCCCATTCCCTGTCTCCATTTTCTTTTGTAAGCCTGATGATGACTGGGAAATCTCCAGCTAACAGCCTGTTCTAAGAACTGCCTCCAGGAACTGGATCCTCTTCCTGGGTGATGCCAGTAAGATGCAGTAGGTACAGTGTGTTTCAGCATCTTGTGGGCTAGCACAGTACTGCCTGGATCATATTACAGCTGGCTAACGAGGAACAGCTCTCAGTTGCTCTGGGTTGGATCAGGTGTCATTTAGTCCAATGCACAAGGACTGGAAAGATGACTCTGTGCCTCCTATCAGAAATTATGTTTAGAGCCCTTCAGCCAGAGCTGCAGATGTCTGTTTTTTACCACAGATAAACTTCTCTAGCAGAATGTGATTTTTTCAGGCTGTTTAAAGAACATCCCTGTGAGGGGGGAACTCCATACTGTACCTGTTAATGTTCTCTCCGTATTTCACTGTACCAAATAACACCACTCCAGCAAAAGCATAACAAAGAAGCAGTAAGAACATGCCCACTATGATGAAGAAACTCTTGTACATGCTGACAACCACAGTCAGGAGAAGCATTTTCAGTGTTACCTGGAAAGACAGAAAAAATCCATGACAGTACCCAGGAAAGCAAAGATAAAACATAAATGTGAGTTCTTGCACTTGCCATTTTGACAACAAATCCTTTAGACACATTAATTTTAATGGATGAGCTCAGTAAAATGGTACATTATGAATGTGATCTGTGTGTGCTTTTTACTTGTTACAGACATCAGCATATCTTCCTCATTTACAAGGTCAAGATGTTGCTCCTCAAAAAGTAATATAGGATAATACAGTGTAGGATATTACAGTGATGGTACAGCATAAGCTTAACTATAATATCCTAGGATCAGTACTCTCCTGAAGTATCAGCATTGGCATTGCATGAACAGTGCTGCAGTAAACTACTCTGGGCTTACCTGAAAGTGATCCTAACTGCTAGACAGAAACCACAGATACTGCTGCCTACCTAAAGGAATACTTTCACATATAGGGAAGGAGATTTCCTTAAGATCAGTACAGCTTTTTAAGTCAGTAGTTTCTCATGGGAGTTTGTGAAAGACCAGGGACATTTTCCAGAAGCCTTCCAGTACCTAAGTGGGGGTGACAAGAGAGCTGGAGAGGGACTTTTTACAAGATCATGTAGTGACAGAACAAGAGTAAGTGGCTTTAAGCTGAAAGAGGTGAGGTTTATATTTGGTATTGGGAAGAAATTAATTGTGAGGGTGGTAAGGCACTGGAACGCGTTGCCCAAACAAGCTGTGAATGCTCCATTCCTGGAAATGTTCAAGGACAGGTTGAATGGGGTTTTGAGTAACTTGGTCTGGTAGCAGGTGTCTCTCCCCATGGCAGGGGGATTGGAACGAGATGATCTTTTCGGTCCCTTCCAACCCAAACCACTCTGTGAGTCTGTGATTCTGTGAAGTTGGCCAAAGAACACAAAATGAGAGCATAATTTTGAAAACTTCATAGGCTGTGTGCCTTGATAATAGATATTACTTTTCCATGCATGTATATTTTACATTTTACTCTTGATAAATTTATTGCCCTAGATTGTCCTAACACTTTTAAATACTTTGGATATGACAAAAAAATCCCTTTAATGGGACTGAGTGTGTTATTTTTCTTTATAATCATGCCAAATTCCTGCTGCCCTTTAGTCATCGCATTGCATCAGGATGGGTAAATTAGTGAAACTGAAACAGCTGGTAACATGAAAGTACAAATGACTAGGTTAAAACCTTGAAGAAAACTTTAGAATCAATCAGAAAGCTTTGAAGGCAATCACTTGGCCTGGCTGCATAGGAGAAGCAAGGATTTTTCATTTGACTTCCAAGGCTCAAGAGGCTCTGTGTAGTCTGATTTAAAGAAAACTTTTTATCTTTACTGAACAAACCCTTTGACTTACTGTTCTTAACCCTGGCAACCTAGTACAGCAGTTTTTTCATCACATTTACTTTAATATGTCAGACTTCATAGAAAATATTTGGATAGTCTAAGAAGTTCTACAGCAAGGGAATGCAGTGTCACCTCTTGTTAAATAAATGTGTTTGTTCTCTGCTTATGCTTTTTCTGCCAGTCTATTCTCAATTACACCAGAGAAATCCAAACACAAAAGAAATGTAAACTTGAGAAGGGACTTGCTTTGTCACCATCCCAGTGTTTCCGGAAGAACATCTTGGCCCAAAATTGTTTTTAAATGGAATATAAATCCTTTATTGTGACAAGATACATTGTAGAGAAAAAAGACACAGACCTGCACTCTGGAAAAAATAAACTTTTTAAAGAGAGCACTATCATAATAAGATGATGCATTCAACCACCACTACATTAGTCTAACAGTGAAAATAAAAAAAAAAAAGCATGCCCATCACACCTCACCAAAATGGAAAGGGCTGAAAGAAGCACAGTGTATGTTCAGAGTTCTATAGGGCATTTTTAAAAGCTGTGGTATTGCAGCTGCACTTTGTTTTCTGAAAAAAATCAGCTTTTCCAGTAAGCATAGCACTATTATACAATCTACTTAAAATCCTGACATTTTAAATACAGCATGTAAAGTTAAAGGCTGCTGTTTGACTGTTTGAATTTTTTTTTTTGCCTAGAAAACAGAGCCTTACAGAATTTGCCTGAGAGATGCACAGCATCTACTCCTTTAATCTATACATGAGCAGAGCAGTAATCATAGTTTCTAATTTATACTTACATGCTTCCCACAAATGGAGAAAAACCTGAAGACAATTACACATGCCCCCATCATGTATGTGTATGCATTCTGGAACACAAACACAAAAGACTTAAAACATGGTCCCCCAGGAATCTCTTGAACAGATCATGATAACTGATTTTTTAGTAATGTAGGGCAGTCCCCATATGAAATAAGAGAAATCATAAATTATTAGCAACAATATAAAGAACACAAACCCAACCTCCCCACACATCAAGCCAAAAACCTTTCAGTCCTCTATTAATTATGTCCATCAGGCCCAGTGCACTTTTCTAGGAAGCTGCTGGATTACAGAAACTCCCCAGGCCTTCCAAGCTACTTAGTAGGAGGGAGAAACTGTGAATATCAGGGCAAAATGACTAGTCACATGAAACAGGTTTTTCTTCAAACAGAACATGTGGCAGACAAGAGAAAATCCTGCAGACATTATAGGGTTGTGACTTTGACAACTTGTGACTGATAACAAGTATCAACCATCCCTTCTCCTTCCCCTGTAAATAAAGAAACCAGGAGTGTAGTTAAATTTTAAAAATTGGTGTGAAATGAAGCGAGAGCTGATTTCCTCCCCTCTCTCCTTCATGTCTTCTTGATTTAAACACTGCCCCTTAACCAAAGCCAGTGGTACAGAATCACTGTTGGGTTTGGGAGGGTTTGTATAGTTCAGCAGTTCTGAACCTATGCCTTCTTCCAGTCCTCTGGTCCTGTTTGTATTCTGTGCCTTGCCTCTTTCTTCATGCTCATAAGACCTTTGTTAGCAAGTGCTCTCACTCTCTTCAGTCTCCTTGCTTTTGTCACTTACGTCCCTCCTAAAGGCTTGTTTCCTACCACATTTACAGACTCTAACTTGCATCAGTAAGACAATTTTTGCACTATATGATTGTACAAGACAATCATTCTTAGCATCAAGCTTAGTTTCTTTCAGATATATTTCAGCCTTATTAAACTCTCAGAGATTTATCTGTATATATAGCAGCAGTCCCCCTGCTGGTGCCTCAAGGTAAAATAATTTTAATCACTGGAATTGCATTTTGTGTATCTTACCAGTAAGGCAAAGTGAAGTATGACCCATATGACTCCAAGAGATGTCACCAAGAGATCATACCGATTTCTTCTGCTCTGCCAGAAGCCAGAAGGTGACATAGCAATAATCTTCATTGTGACCTATGGATAAACGAATTTTTGACTTGTAATGAAGAAATTATTATTCCTTGCCATGAGATACTTTTCCATTCTCCAAAATGTTTGATTGGGTTCATTTTATGAAATAGTTTCAAACAACAAAGGGCAAGTTTCACCTTAGCTAAATATTCCCATGTGGACCACCTGGATAATATTCGCTTCCCTTAGGTGGAGGAAAAGTGTTACAGATCACCAAGACCAAGGGATGAACAGCATTCTGAATTGTCTCTCTACCTCCTTCAAGTATCTAAGACAGGAGTGCAGCTAACCACCTCAGACTGAATGCTTAATGTGTAGATTGCTGATGTGAATGTGGGGTTTAATAGCTTGACATTAAACAAGTCATGTCAATAACATGTAGCTAAGCAAGGCAGCAATATCCTATCCAGCTAACTGTCTGTAAGCAAGATAAAATCACATTAAGCACATCTGAACTCAGGAATGTAATTGTGTTCTGCAGCACCTACAGTTCAAATTTATTATAAAGCTTTCCTATATTGCAAATATTTCCTGCTTTAAGGAATTTTCTGTACTCAGCAGCATCTGTACTCAGCAGCATGGAAGAGAAAAAAGCTAAGAACAGTAAAGGCAGTATATTTGACAGTGTACCTGGTAAAAACAGCTTCCAAAGTGCTTGACATTTCCAATTTAGGTAACAGGAATGCAGACAAGAAGCTCAAGAATAGATACTAATAGTTACAGAAATAGTCACATCAGGTAATGGATACCAAAGTAGAGTGATGCATATAGAGGGAACACCTAAGAGTTACTCACACACAAGTCAACAAGTCATATTAAATCTCAGAACAGGTTATGAGTTACTGTATAAAGACTTTCAATATCAGGCATTAATTATGTTATTTTTTCTATCCCACCTTGCAACCCTGCCATTTAACATTTCTGAAAACAAAACCAAATATAAGAGGACACTAGCTTGAGGTAAAAGGCTGATTTTCCAGTTAGCTTTTTCCCTTATAATGTTTTCTGAAGCCTGACTACAAAGTGAACAATATGGTCTCTGAATCTCTAATTACCATTAGAGTTACTTGGTATCTTGCTTTCAGTTACTTGAGATGCCCTAGAGAATTGAAGATGGATGGATGGGTCTGGCAGGGATGACATAAGACCTGTAGACATCCCTGGCCTTCTGGAGTGGCTAGTGGAGGTAACTGAATGTCACCCTTCATCTCCTTCAATCACAGTAACAACTTAAACACCTACCTCACATATAGAATTTAAACATATAGCTTCAGGTGTCCATAAGCTTGAACTGAATACCACACAATGGAAATAAAAAAATCACATCTCCCTTTACTCTGTCATCATCAGTGTGGTAACAAAAGTGAGATCTTCAAATTCTTCCTATTTTCTATACCACATATATATGATGTGAGCAGTAGAGGTTTAAAGCTGAATCAGGAGTTGTTAGATTGGACACAGGGCCATCAGCTATGCAGAAAGCAGACTGTGACCAGACTGTGCTGCATTATGGAAGATCTTGAGCAGGAAGCTGCTTCCTCTCTCCATAAATTGTGTGCACTCACAGTGTGATAGCTTGCCTGTTGAGACAGTCAACAAATTTTTCCTGCCTCTGACAAAGTTCCTTTGAAATTCTAGAAGTGTATTTGTTTCCCCTGGCAGTATAAGAGAAAAAAGTATTTCCAAAGACATAGTTACTAGGTAAATTAAAACCTGCCCGTGTATGACACAAATAAAACTTTTCTGTGTTTTCTCAGTCTCTCCAGAGATATTGATTTCTCCTGGGTAGGGATAAAAGAAGCAACAACATGGACATACTCTAGCTACAGCTGCTACAAGGTATTCACTTCATTTTTTATTCATCACTACTGGCAAAACCTATCAATGGAACATAGGAACTGTCAGATTGTATTAGAGCAGTGGGAAACATAGTCTACTATCCTGTTTCTGATAGTGGTCAGTATCAGCTATTCAGAGGGGACTGATGAGAAAAGTAGTCAACCAAAAACTTTATAGAATTATGTACTATCCTAACCACAGAGGAAGCATCTTCTTTAATCTTAAATGGATATTCTTATACATTAAAAAAGTATATGTTTTCCAAAATGTGTTTAAATCATTAGATTCTAGTCTTATGAAAATAGGCTAAATACACCTTGCAGAATTTGTAATAACAATATTCTCGTAGATAGAGAACTGCTACCACACTGGAGCCAGACTTGCGCAGCAAAAGATAGACAACACTGGAGCTGGAGAGTAGCTTATAAAAAAGATATTAAAATGAAGTATGATTTTTAAAACAAAACAAAGCTGAGAGAGGTTTGATTTTGTCACAGGTACAGAATCGTGGGGATTAACACACCAGGCAAAACATAAATGGATAAAGCAGAACTTCTGTGAGGCAACACACACCTTTTGTTGTATGGAGGGAATGTTCCACAAGAAAAGAGTTCACTGGGTTCACCAAAGCACACTGTTAAATACTCAGCCTTGAACATATATAAAAAGACACAAACCTCACGGCTGTAGAGAAGTATGACTATAACACATTAAAAGTTTCTTCTTACAATACATGTTTAAAGACAAGTGACATAGAGAACCCTGAATGTACACATTCAGAAACAAACACCCTAGTGAAGAACGAGAAACATCCCTAAAGACGAAATGAAATATATACATACAAGTCTTAATTTCAAGAAGTCAAAAAATATATTACCTTACCTCAAGGACAAAAATGAAGGTGAAAACAACAGACATTGTAGCTAAAGGCACAGTTACTGGATCTGCAGCATCCCACTGAAAAGCAAGCATAATCCATTAACAGAAGAATAGCTGTTAGACAGAATAAATGCCTCTTCATTGCCTTAACTTAAGGGTTTTGTTAATGACTGAATTTCACTTTAAAATATACTCAGAAAGGAATGGCATTTTGGTGTACTCTTCTCTCTCAGATTTGCACCTTAACTAAAAATTATACATAGTGGACCAGACTACAAAAAGCCAGAAATTGACTGAGCTCCACAAGTAACAATTAATCTACAGTGATCTACGCCAACTGAGATTACTGTATCTAGAAATCACATTTCCTTGCATTCACCACACTAATGGCTCAATTGATCATTAAATGGTGTTAGGAAATGTGCAAACACATGCTGTACTACTGTAATGAAGCGCTTAAAAGAAACACAATTACCTTAACTGATAACAACACAGACTGGGCCAGAACAAGTACAGCAATAGTTCTCTTAAAAAATGGATGCTGAGTTATATCATACATCTTTGCTCTAAAGCCATCATTATCTGAAAAAGAAAGAGTTTGAGGAGAAGAGTTAAAATACACAGTAACATTCCCCCCTATTTCTTGACGTATTTTCCATGTTCATTAGAGGCAAAATAATCTTTTCCCATTTTCAAAATCAGTTTCTAATTTTCTGCCACAATTTTCCATATCAAATAGGGTTTCTGAACATATAATTTCAAATACCGAACACCAGTGTTGCATGAAAGCTTTGGTACTTTCAGGGCAAGTGCATCACTCAACTGCTGTCAGGTTAATACATTCCATTCATATCATTACAGCCAACTGCAAATATTTTTCATTTAGAAAATAAATTTTTCATTAAGGCTTATCCTAAAACCATCGAAGCACAACCTTTTTAGGGTTGATTTTAATAGCCTTATGGAGAGATCTGTAGTTGGAGCCTGTTTCCACATTAACTTATGCACAACCTCCTAGTGGCCTCACGATTACAGTTTTAATTTGAATTGCACACTCCTGGGGAATTACAAACACTAGGGCTCAATATGAATAAAATCAAAATATCTCTGATACCTGGACGAGGTGGGAGATGAAGAGGTTGTGCTATCTTCAGTCTGCTTTTCAGATCTTCCCATCGTCTCTGATCTACAGTCAGTAAAGCTGTCCCCTTAATAAACAGAGAAGCATATAAAGCTTTTGTCATTTAACAGCACTGCAGCATGAAAACAACATTCTCTTTGGTGTATAAAATAAAGTTATGTACACAACTTCCCTTAAATAACACACTGCTTGGGGAAAGGAACCTGAAGTATCAGCTGTTACCCAAGAGGATTTCTGGATGCATTAGCTGTGAGTTTCTGGGACTCAACTCAGCAGGTACAGTTGCTGCTCTTTGTAGCAGCAGCCCATTGTGGGCAATGAAGCACTGCAGGAGGTCTTCCATTTGACTAAATGTCATTTGCCAGGAAGCAGAGTGGTGGATTTTGTCTGGACTTTGCAGCAGAAAATCCTGTGACTTACTAGTGCCACTAGTTTCTTCAGGGAGGGAGCCCTCCAGGAGACCACTGCTGGTCTCCACAGCTCTTCTGCTTGGGGTGTAATTGAAATAAAATAATAGTATGCTATGAATCTACAAGAGCTCTCCACAGAGGAAGAACAAAGAGAGGTGAAGACACACCTTTAGGGTAGGTGGTGGTAGCTGGTAATGTGTATAAATGTTCACATAACACAGAAAACTTCAAACAGAATTGAATGTTATCTAAAATGACCTTCAGAACAAAATAAGTTCCTTATCACTTTAGAGAACTGTAAAATCTCACAGAAGGACTCTAGAGTTGCAAAAACAAAGGAGACCTTTTCAAGGCAAAAGTCAAAATCCTGTCTCCCAGACACCTGGCTCCTGTCCCTGTCAGAAAGGAGCCACACTGAACTGGGTGAGGGCTGGCATAATCTTCACCCTTATCTGGGCATTGGCTTGTGTAGATGCTGGAATTGTGGCTGACTGTGCAACTGATAAGGTCAGGATTTCTCCCTCTCAGTGAACATGATCTCTTTATGGAGCTGTGTCCCTAGATGGTACCCTGGGAAGAGGTACCTTCCAACATAAAAAGTGAAGATGTAAAGATGCTAACTACTCCTGTCAGGCCCAAATGGCACCATTCAGAAACACTTAGATGAAAAGGCAACACATTCACCCCAAGGAGTGTGTCTGGTTTATATTCTTGGAGACTCTTCACTGCAAACAAGACAAAATGTGGCAAAAAAGTGGACTTCTGTAAAATCTAGCGGTGCTAAATTGCTTTGTTGCTCAGAAACTGCCAGTTCCACAAGCAGGATCATCATAAGGGAAGCACAGAGTAGAGCACAGCAAGCAGGGCTAGGGACGAGCTGTGCTTGCATTTGGGCTTCAGCTCAAAGTGCCAGCTAATACATGAGTCATTCACATCTTCACTGCTGCCTGAACTTCTGGCACTCAGGAGCTGTGATAAGTGATAGCTGGGGACTGAAATGGGGTTAGGGGTTGGAATAATTTGGACTATTGCACTGTCACTGGGACACTGTCACTGGGACAACCAAGGACAGAGCCCAGAGCTTGCTGTGGTACTTCCCAGTCCAACGCTTCTACACTTGCAGTACCAACGACTCATGCAAAAAACTAGAGCATATCTGAAATGATTACAACTTTTTCTTTTTAGAAAATTGTTTTCATGTTAAACAATTTGTTCAGTAGTTGCCCAAATCTGAACCTCATCAACAACTCCTGCAATTGTTCTAACTGCATATCAGCCATGAATTTTCTAAGGAAAATATCTAAACACTAATACCTTGGTCAAGTAGCTAGTTTTAAGAAAATGCGACAGAACCTCATACTGTGGATTGTTTTTCTCTCTACTTTCTGGGCTAGTATCCAGCCATCTCTCTACATATATTTTTTAGTTTGTGGACATTTCTTCACTCTACATGAATATTAATTGGGCTGAAACTCTTGCCCACTTAATTAACATTAATCTTTTCAACTCAAATCTGAAAACATTTTCTTTTCTCTATAGTAAATACATAAAAAGTAATGAGGAGTCAAGGAAAAAGAAAGAAAAACAAACATTACATGCCACTGCTGGTTACTAAGAAACAACCGAAGAAGCTGAACCAGAAGATATAAAAGATTTATACTTTAAATATCAAGTGAATTCTATAGAAATATTGCCTGATGTGTCTGTTCACCATAATTTAAAGGGACTGTTACTAGTGAGCAAGGACAAAAAGCATAAAGCATCTTGTATTCATCCGTGCACTGAAAAATTTGAAGGCAAAGTAATATTGCACAGATGAACAAAAAGTGACAAAGTTGTCTATAAAAATCCAGTGTAGTTCTCATACTGCAGAAATTCCAGCTTTGTTAATTCACAGTCAAAATTTAGTGAATAAGAAAAGAAATTATTTGTACATTGCTCCTTGTTCTCTAGAACAGACATATTTTAACAGGAATGACTGCACTTTATCTTACCAAAATTACACTGATGTTATGCAACCATAAAAATACCTTCAAAACAGTAGAGGTTTTAGGATATTTATTTGGCTCACAACCTGCTTGACCTCACTTCATGATGCCTTGCTTGCCCACAGTAACATGCTGCTCAGCTCCCTTCCGGAAGGAGTCAACTGGTTTCCCTGATGGACAAACTCAGTGGTTGTGTTTGCTGCTGGGCTTGGGTCAGGGCCAGAGCCAGCACCCAGCTCCAGAACCAGCACACCAGGCTGTCACACATCTCCATGCCCCACAGCATGTAATCATCCTTTCCCTTCAGAGCCACAAGTGGTAAAAATATCATATCTCATTATTTTTGTGACTGAACTGAAAGTGGAAAAAATTAATAATTTTGTCTCTATGCCTCAGAGGCACCACAAGAGGCCCAGAAAAACCCCTCAGAATAAAGGTTATGAAGTGTGTGTGCAGCAATCCTATCCAGAGGATTCTACCTTTTAACAAGTGTAGACATGAGCTGCTCTGAAACAACTCCCTTGAGGACAGGTTTTTTCTACTTTTCAGGGTAATCCAAAAACCCATGTAAACTTGCCCAGAACACTAGCTACCTTTTATTTGAGTGATGGACAACTATTTTTACAATGTACTCTGTGGTTTGTAAAGAAAAAGCCACACAGCTTTACTTTGAATCTGAAATACTGCAATGGCAATTTGAAAATTTGAAATCCCTTCATTGCAACACAGGCAAGGATAATACATCTTTATATCTGCCACCACATGTATATCTACATCAAATTAAGCTGCATCTGTAAATATATAGTGCTTTTTGTTCAATCTCCATCTAGCAGCACAGCTGCACTAGAAATAAACTCTAACAGCTTCGATAGTGTGTGTGATGGATCGCTTTGATTTTCTAGCAAGTGTATCTGAAGATCAGGTGTATCTGAAGCCATATTTACAGTTTTGCAAAATGTAAGATTGGTAAGCCAGTACTAAAGGCAGCTTTACCAGGTAGCATAGACAGTGTCATATCAGTTTCAGGTTTCTCACAGAGCCAGTTCTACACTCAGAAAACCCTCTCACTCAGAATAAACCACGCTACTTAGTACCTTGTTTTCATTAAAATTAGCGATGACAACTCCAACAAAAAGGGTCAGTCCAATCATGCAGCCAAGGAATACAAAAACATGGATGTAGATTCCATGGATCTGAATAGACAGAAATAAGATTAATAGTTAATTAAAAAAAAAAAAAGTTAAAAAAAGGAAAGCCCCATAGTTTTTTCTTACAGAATTCAAAGAGTCTAATGTTTCCTTACCGGCCCAACACGATGAATAATAACATCTCTGACTTCCACCCAGCCTTTTAATGACAGAACTTCAAATAGTGCCAGCATTGCATTGCCCACATTATCAAAATTAAAATTCCGAGGATTTGCCCTGAAATGCAGTACACAAGTAGGTGTAACCAGCAGTAAAGATGTTCTATTAGTTACCTTAATTTTTCATAGTCTAACATCTAAATACTTTGCAAAGTTGGGGTGAAAGCCTCTGAAATATATCAAAGCTCCATATCAGGAATAAGAAAACAATAGCAACAGCAATAAATACATAAACATAATTTTTTAGATCCCTATGTATGTTTTGTTTTCTTACTCAGACTATGACTCACAGCAGTAAAGCTTATAACATGTTCAAGGCCCGACAGGATGGGACTTTGAGCAACCTGGTGCAGTGCAAGGTGTCCCTGCTCATGGTAAGATTCCTTCCAACCCAAAACATTCTATGACTCTGTGTTGCTGCATTTTAAAGCTTTTGCCAATGAAATAAGAAAAATACATCATTGATGGAAAAAATTGATCTGATGGCATTGGCCAGATTCTGAAATAAATGTACCTGCAGGAAATAATTCTCTAACTCACATAAAAGATTTGGACTCCATGGTCAGGGAGACTGTTTAGAAAAAGCTGTTCCCTATTTCATTATCATGAGGAACTGATAGCATAAAGCAAAACTTACTGAGAGGACAACATCTTCATGGCTTTCCTATACCACGTGCTCTGACCTTTTTTAACAGTTGAGATTCAAGAGAATGTTTTCAGCTGAACATTAAAAGTACTCTCTTTGGGCTAGGTTAGCACGTTGCTCTGTCTCTACAATCCAAGCCAGATAATCCAAGGAGCCCAAAGACTTTTCAATAGTTTCTGAGGTATGTAATTGTATTCCAGAAAAGTTATTAAGTGTTTGATGCTTCTTGACTCCAACCATTCAGTGAAAAGAGAGCTCTCATTCTTTTTAAAGCAGTCCTTATACTGATATCTGGCTCTTGAAAATTTGGTCTGACAGCCAACAGGTGGTATAAATGTCTTTGTGGTAAAACATTTTTCTGCAATAACAAAACATTCCCCAAAGTTTACAGTTATGCTGATTAAGACAGTTTTTGCTTATTTCTGGACCAAGCTGAACTGACTGAATTTGCTTACTCGCGGAAGAATTTCTCTGAAACATACAGAAACAAAGGTTTCTGCAGATGTCAGAGTTTTACTGACTGTTCAAATCACAGCACACTATTTCTTTAGTGTAGGGTGGCTCTGAATCTACCACTGCTGGCACATTCTTTATCCACACACATGGCCAATTAAAACAATTGTGGCTGTTAAGCTGATTTTGCAAAATGCCAACCAAATGAAAACTGTAAACAATTAAAAAGAGGTAGTTTCGCCTGTTCAGGTGCTGAAAAAATATTAAATTTATTAGAACACAATTTAAAAAAAAACATACATTAGCTTTTAAATGAGTTTTACTGCACTTCTGCACCAGATAGACCGCAAGGACTCCCTGCACTGGGAAAAGAAAGAAACTACTGGCTGGCATGGTTGATGGCCATAGAAGATAAAGGCTGTTTTTAGACATGATATAATAATTTGTTTTTACGGGTAGCTGTAGGCAGGTTAATATCCATTTCTTTTCCTTCCCATCTTTTCCTATTTATTCTTAAACTCTATTGTTGCTTTATGGCTCTCAGGTTGCCTTTATAATAGTACTAAAGAATAACTAAGTGATGATACTTTTCAAGAAAATAACTCCCACTGTAATAATAACCAAATCAAATCTAATTCCTATATAGGTTCAGTACATAGAGGGGTTTTTTCCTTCCTTTCTGGTTTATGAAATGGAGGTCAAGTCTGGAAAATGTCATATATCTGGCTTTTTACTAAATATACCAGAATTTTTACTCTTAGTATCATTTGAATTACAATAAAGCCCCTCCATCAGTGATTTAATGTCATCACATCTGAGCCATTTTTTTTACACTAACAGTTGCATTTTTGAAGAAACATAGGCCAAAGTGTAGCAACTCACCAGACTCGTGGCACCCAAAATCCAGGCTTTTTCTCTCCAGGTCTTAACTTTAAATTGAGATTTTTGGAAACACTTACATTTATTCTGAAGATGCCATGACAATCCTCCTATAGTGAAATAAACCACAGCGATTAAACAGAAGCCTGTGAGAGATGCCAACACGCCAGCATAAACAGCACATTTGCCATGATGGGAAAGCAATATACACAGCAATGAAGGGGTTTTTATGTCTGTGATTAATAGTCATGGACCTTTACCAAATGAAAAATTCTTCTTATTAAGTGTCCCATATGTCCTTTTCCTTCATGATTGACAGTGCTTTTCAATTTGCAAGACTACTTAGCCTTTTATCTCTTTACTAAAGACCACTGCTCTCTTCAGGTCATGATGATATTTCTCCAAATGGATTAAGAAACACAGATAACTTTCTCGCTGTAACCCACATGGCATCCCCACTGATTTGGGCCTCTAGCAGTCTAACCTGTTTTTCAGTTGTGGACCTAAAAATGCAAAAGCATTATTTTCCACGATGAATTCCATGTGCCATCCAGTCCTTTGCAGCTAACATGACATTCATTTGACAACTTTTTTTAAGACAGTCCCCATTATTTGGACTTGCTTTAGTTTTTATACGGAAACCCATCCTTACCCTCATTTGCTGACCTCTTAATCACCTTTTCCTCCATCATCCTGCTTCTGAATAAGAAAGAGCCCAAGACCTCTATTTCTCATATGATAGCTCTGATTGCCCCTCTTGCTTTCCCCAGCAGGCAAAAATGGCACAACATACCATTATCTTGAAACAGAAAAGCAGTTCTTACCCTAGAGATGATGTGAGGGTCATTGCATTTAGCCAGTTTTCCAGCAAACAGCTGCACTCCAAAGCTTGCAAAAACAAGCATTAATGTCAGCAAAAGAATAGAAACCTGTAAAGATGAAGTTGGACTTGTTAAACTCTTCTTCTGCAGACTTGAAAAAGGGGGTCAGCTCCCTTGGTGAAGTGCAGGGAGAATAGTTTTGTGGTATAAACCTGGAGATAAGCCTTTGGTAACAGACTTGCTTCTTTAGGTTCTGGCCCAGTAACCAGGTGTTGTGTTATATTAGTCTTATTTTTAACATGCAGATAAGGATAAAACCTTTCTTGCACTCATGTACCACCTTGCTAAATTCTGTACACATATGAACTGCCACTCACTTTAAAGGAACTGTTTGATTACTTGCATATGTGCTGCTTCTGTTTTGCTGATTCAGGCTAATTAATCTGATTAAGCCATTTTAAGATATTTGATTCTAGGATAGCTCCAATAAAGATAAGCATGAGCAAATTAAAATGCAAATATCTTTAACAGAATACAGTATTTATGAAATGTTAACTAGCTTTATACTTTTTGTCCTTGCTCTATTACTGTCTGCAAATATTTTGTAGTTTAGTGTTTTATAACAACCTGACCTAATAAAGCCTTCTGTTAAGCTACAAGATGGCTGTTGCTTAAGCTGACCAATACCACAGAGGGTCCCAAGACAACAGATTATGTCTGATCAAGCAATCACAAACTCCACTGTTGCTCTTATTACTTTAAGTATGGCCATGATCATAATAATAACAGCAATGACATAAGAATGAGATCCAAATCTGTGATGAACAGCTGTATTGTTTTTGGCTGGTTCTCAAGAAACTTGAAGGTAGAGACCTGCAGCTCAGAAACCAGGTTTTAGTTTTGTTCTTGCAGAGTTTCCATACACTACTTCTCATATTCCTTGAACAACCAGAACTGTGAAAAAGAGGTAGATTTGTAGATTTTTTTCAGTAGTCTTCCTATGTAATTATGACTAAAAGTATGCTAAACAAGTAATATAGTTTCTAAAAGAATTATTTTAATAGCTTTACTCATTATGATTTACTTATATTCTAATTTTTAGCCTGTTTGGTCATCTGCAGTGACACCACAATGAAAAGTAAACAGAAAACAATGGTGAAAAGAATAGAAAACATGAATTTTATATCAAAATGTTATCTTATTAGTCCTTCATATATTTTCATAAGAAAAATAAATAATTGGCACACACCAAAAAGATTTCCTTGAAGCCACTAAACAGCTCTCGCACCACTTTCCTCATCTGAGGGACCAGTTTGAAGATTCGAAGAGGTCGGAGGCAGCGGAGCACCATTAAGAGCTGAGCTCCGGATTTGGCAGGGACGTTCTGAGGCATCCAGCACAGGAATATCAAACTCACCTGGAGGTGACAGGACAGGAAGAGGCAAAGTAAGGTCAGGCTTACAGTATCTTACTTGGCATAGACACAGCACAGAGGGGCAATGAACTTCTCTACCTTAAAATTAAAGGAAAGAGTAAGGCAAAAGAGCATCTACTTTAGAAAAAGGGCTTAGATCTCTTATGTCCTGGCTTATTGTTCTAACTAATTGGCATCAGCTTGTCTTTGTCTCGCCCTTTGACTCAAAATCCATTTTATATGCTTAATTAGATGGAATAGTTCCAAAAGGAGAAATCAATTTGGCTGACTCAAAACAGGGACACAAACTATATTCTCGGAGCAGGCAGCATTACTTCTCTCCCTCCTTCGTATTTCAGAGATTCTGTCCTGGAACTGAGAAATCTTCACCTGGAAAGTCTGTTAACAGTTTCCCTGACAGTTTTCCCTACCACTTTGTTACAGGCATAAGTTATTCTGTCACCATGTGGCTTCATTACATGAATGTTATGTTTTTGGGAGTGTTTTCAAACAGCATTGTAACCTGAACAATCTCTGACAAATGGTTATTGATTTAATGTCTCTTAAGTGCTTCATATTTTTAAAAGCCAGTGTTATGACAGGGTAACAGAGGTGAGAGTATTACAAAGAAGTAAGTGCACAAAAACTGGAGGATCAAGATGATATCACCAATTATTTAAAACTTGATATAATTTGTTAAAAATAAAGTGATAAAAGTCAGCCACCCCTCCAAAACAAACAGATTTAACAGTTCTGCTGACTTTTTTCCACAGTCTTTTAAGATCACTGCAGACTTAGTTGGAATATTCAAACTACACCACTGAAATTTTTCCTTCAGACAAGCAGAGGGATTGCGAGATTTCAGGAAACTAAAGCACACAGGAATTATGCTTACTACAGTAGGAATTTTTTACAAGTATGCATATTTTTATTTATGCTAACAACAGAATCTTTGATACAAATTGATCATGACAAATTTTATGCAGTACATCTGCCTGGTGGATTAATCTCTGAAAGATTTAATCTAAATCCATCAAAGCCATTTTTCTCAGTAATTTCTTAAGTTAGAATAGATTTCATACTGTACTGTACTGAGCACTGGTTTTGACACATTCTACAGTGTTTACTGTTGTATGTGAAGAGGAAATGGACATCCTCCTCTTGTATTTTAATGGAATGCAAGAGATTTCCCAGAAACTGTTGAGAAACTTTTTTCCTGAGAACCACTACTGATAAGTATGGGATACAGGTTTCTTTGCTTTCTTCTATAGCAACACCAGCAACAAAGATGTGCCATCTGTCAAATGGTAAATGGTTTTGAAACACCTTTAATAAAGCAGGAATACAGTTGTGAGAGGAAGAAGCAATTAATATCTATGAAACAGGTAAAATTAAGATTCTCCTGCATAAAAAGGCTGAAATGAGCTCAGAGTTCTCAAGTTTACTCTGAAGGAAAATCAGATCTGACACTTAAAACATATCAATGAACAAAGCATTAAAACGGGCCATACAACGACCCCACACTAAATTGCCAGGTATTTATCACATCCATGTATCACTACTGTTTGTATCAGGGTACAGAGACAAACTTCTTCACACTACTAAACATTTATATTACCAAATATATCAGAGTTAAGAATGCCACAAAAAACTTCCATACATAAAAATATAAAATATAAATATAAATATAAAAACTTACAAGATATATAAATATGTCCATAACTCCTCCAAAGTCCCTAATGACAGCTGTTGGTGTAAAGAACAAGCCATCTGCCATAATCTTCAGATTAAGCTCAATGCTCATGAATATTACAAAAACATATTCAGCAATCTGAAAACAAAAGCAGAGAACCACCATAATTTAGGAACAGGCAGTGGAGAAAAACAAGGTGCCTGTGGTTCAATAATTGTAAAATGATTCAGTGGCAGTACCTGGAGTGTTGGAGCATGCATAACTCTTCTAAAAGGGGATTCGAACATCATGGAAATGCAGGAGCATATTGTCACAATGATCATGACCCAGTCCAGGTAAGTAACCAAACCCAGCAAGTCACTGTGAATGATACACAAGGAAATGCCATTACAGAAATGCCCAGAGCGCTGTGTACTTGCTTTGTGCCTACACTACAGTTCAGTGCTTTCCTAAGAAAAATAAATTGAGCTGAGAAGTGTCAAAGATTTCAGTATTTCAAAAATGTGCAGTAAAACTAGAGAAGTTGCATGCAAGTGAAGAAGAAAAGTCTGATTAAAAATCCTCTTCCTGTTCATCCTTCTCCCCAAACAACTCCATGGTAAGAAAAACCTTTTTTGAAAAAGAAAAAAGAAGACATATACATGTGCATGCACATTTACACACAGCCATGCACATGTGTGCACACACACTTCAGGCTTATGACACCAAGCAAAGTTACTTTTGCAGTGCTTACTAAAGCTGATGGTATTTGGTATTTTTCACAGCTCCAGTAACAGGATCTGTTTTAGAACTATAAAAAGAAGAAAAGATACAGTCATTTACATTTTATTTTAGTCAGCATTATAATTATACCATGCATCCATCAACTCCAAGTAATTTCGGTCCAAAATCAAGGCTCCATTTTATCCTGTCTGTATTTTAAATGTCTGTATAAGTTTCATTTAATTCTATGCAATTTCAGTCATATTATCAACACAACTAGAATCACTTTAACTCATCGCATACCTGTAATTCCTCTATGATTCTTTGAACTGACAGGTGTTTTTGGGTCTTGATTTTGTAAACAAGGACCTAATCTTGTAATTTTCTTGAGAATAAGGGGGATAACCTGCTACTGAATTTTAGGTAACAAAATGCTCTTTACAATTACTTCAAAACTTCTTGGACCATGGCTGGATGAGGCTCTGAGCAACCTAGCCTAGTGAAAGATGTCCCTGTCCAAGGCTGAGGGGCTGGAACTGGATGATCCTTAAGGCCCCTTGCAACTCAAACCACTCTATGATTCTGTGATCATACAATACCCTCAGTTAACACAAACACACACACACACACACATCCTTCCACAAGCTCTATGTCTTTTATTACTTATTTAGTCTTTTTCTGACTAATATTTTTAGATTCTCAGTATCTGAATTTTCCCATGTAATTGCTGTGCTCCGCCTGCCATATCCAAACAGCCATTAGGCAGTCAAAGGTTGAGAACTACTCTATAAGTAATATGCACATATCTAGGTGACATGAGTTAAGTTCCTGCTGCAGCAATTATTTATCAATTTCATACAAAGCAGAATGACTGCTGCAGGAGAAGCTACACGAATACTTTCCAAGAAGCCTCCCCTGACCCACTGGTTATAGGTACTTTACTTATCTTCCAACTCCCACAGGAAATCATGCCAAGACAGGACCTGCACTGACATATCCTATGTTTCATTGGAGGGCTCTAGCCATTGGGATGTAAAATTGCTATTACTTCCTTGCTGATCTTAAAGTGAAAAATGGACTGAACTGACTTGAGGAATTACCACCAGAGAGATTTCATGGTTATGAATTACAGGAAAATGCACAAGACATCCAAGGAGAATGAGAAACATCTTCCACAGACCAGGTTCATTGACTTACACCAGTAAGCACACAGAACATACTGGATTAGTGCCTTCCCACTGAAGCCAGTGACTTTTGCTTCTTAAATTCTTGCCTCTCCCTACATTATACATAGCAGCATTCCTCAGCCTTTTTTTATCAGACGAAAATATGCATCCTATCAGTTTCTAGAATAACCTACTTTATAAGCTAGATGGGATAACAAATAAAGCAGTGAGGATTTAAGTAAATGAAAAAAAAGACTGTTTAAGAAAATCAGTTTATTCTTATAATCAGTTTATTCTTATAATTCTAAACATTTTATTTAAACTGTTTTAGTATAAATATCCTGTTACCATTGGGCACTTAAAAATGTTAAGAGGCACTGACAAATACTTGCTAAGTGGATTTGATTGACTGTGTGTTTTGCTTTTTCTGTTTTAATTTGCAACTGCTTCATGGACCAGTGCACCACAATCAAGTTAGCAGTTGCATAGAAAAGTGAGGATGTAGCTCAAGGACATGTCTCTACAAAGACGGCAGAAACTTAAATATAAGTATGGTTAAAACTGAGTCTCTAGCCATCCTGTCATGTTAACTAGAAATGATTTGTTGAAGGGCACAGAGAAAATCAATGGTAAAGCAGCTGCTGAAAGCAGTCCTTCTAAGCGCCAAGCCCATGGCCTTGAGCTATCTTATGTCTTACATTGCTCTATGCAAGGTGACATGCATTAACCCTTTAAAATCCTGATGCTAGCAAGAGACAGATGTTTAAAAAAAGAGTTATGAGATGATTTTATAGAAAGCTGCTTGTACATGGATTTTTATCTGCCGCACTCACATATACCTACAGCTTAGTTGCTGAGTCTTCCTGGTTTTCAGTTGGTTTCAACTTTTCTCCTTTTGTCTCCCACAGCTGAACATATCCCCAGCCCATTCTGAGTCCCTTTTTATGGGATACAGAGTATTTGGGTGCGCAGAGGTGCAATCCATTTCTCTTCACCTTTTTCTGTTCTATGAGTAACTGTTGGTGTATAAAAACTTATGCCTTATAATGAGAAATAAGAAGGGAATAGCAAGCTGATTCCCGGACATCTACAAGCGGGAAACATTAGCCTTTCCTTTCAGCTCATGCCTGCAGTTTCCCCACAGTCTTGTCCATCTCAGCATCACAGGCTGCTCAAACACGTCTGCCCTAACACAGCATTTTATTGCTTCCTTTCATCCAGCAGCATCCTACACCACAGACACTGCCTGCCAGCTTGTGTGGTGACCACACTGCTTGCAGTTTTCCTTGGAAAAGGAAAGTTAGAGCTTGTCTGAGGACGTGGAGGTAAGCACCCATGGAACCAATGTCACTATGAAATGAACTTACGCATTAAAGCGAGCCCGTACCACCACTCGGCAGAAGTTCCTGAATCTGTGCTCACGGCCAACTATGAAAAGGGGTTTATCGAAATACGGGTGATTCTCTCGCAGCTCCTCCTCCTGGACTTTCCTTTTGAAAAAACATAAATTATTAAGTGCTACACATCATTCCTGGCAAAAACATCCCTTACACTTTGTTCTTTTTTTCATATTGACTCTTAATACTTTTAACTTTATACAGAGAATAGTTAATACATAAAATGTGCACTCAGACTTTTGATTTTTAAATACCTTTTCATTTCAGCTTGTTCTTTTTTTTCTTGGATCATCTTTATCTCACTGTCTTCTCTCTGTGCATTTCTGTATCTCACTGTGTTGGAGTGCTAGAAGCAAAATGATTCCTATTAATCGAGGTCTAAGGGTTGTTATTTTTTAATGTTTCAGATGAAAGCAAGATATGGTATTTTACATAGAAATATTAAAATGAAAGATCTTTATTTCTAAATGTACTGCACATCAATTCAGTCAAGCATATTGCACAGTGTTTTCTATCTACAGCATAAGGCTCCTTATTTTCATCAAGGTTAATTTCAGTTCTAATTTCATGCTTGAGGCTCCATCCAATCTAACTTTTAACTTTAAAAACAGGGGTCCTGTTTTTAAACCTCTCTGAAATGGAATGAATACAATCAAAGTTACTAAGGACGAAACCAAGGCTTTAGACACTCTTGCAGCTTCTCAAGCCTGCTGCATGGCTGCCAGGCTGCGAGGCATGCAGATCATACAGGTAGTGACTGCTGAGTGCAGGGATGAGGGAGGGAGGATGCTGGCTGAGCTCATGCCGTGGAGGGAACAATCAGCATTACTATTCTGAGTTATGTGAGGCTTTGAAGCACTCCTGGTGGGGTAATGCTGGGGGTTATCCTTACTGCTAGCTACAAGCAAAGCCACATCTGCTTTAGTTACCTTTAAAGACTGGGATAGTTTGGAAATGGGTTGACTAATACTGTATCTTGAAATTTTATTGCCACAGAGATCCACAAAATACCATATGAATTTGCAGAAATGAAAACTCACTTAACTGCATGAAATTACACCACAGTGAAATCCACGATTACTGTCCTCCCTTTCAGTCTTTGTCCCTTTGTCTGACAGTTCTGCTGCTTGGGAAATATTGCTAAACTTCCATCAGAAATTTTGAACTGCTGTTTTCCCAGCCTGAGTGATTTCTATAATTCCAGAGTAACGCTTTTTAAGGTGTCCTGGGTAGCAATTGTTGTGTTCCCAATACAGTGTCTACAGATTCAGTGAATCTATCTCAGCAAGTGTTCCAAAACCATAAGTCTATCAGTGACATAACCATGTCAATTATTTTGAGGATAATTCTAATGCAATTACAGCATTTGTCTTATGACTTCCTTTCAAGATTTGAAAAGACAAATTGCAAGCAAGTTCATAAATAGAATTAGTCCTACACAAGCATTTATTTGATAGCATATATTCTAATTTCTTATGTTCTCAAACTGAAACCAGCATTTCTATGAGGACTTACATCTTGAGTCAATGTTTCAAGAGATTTTCCTCTGCTGATTCGCTGGCTGTTCGAACCATGTCTCAGTGACCTGAAACAATCATAATCAATTTAACAATACAGCTCAAGATGAAATTTTGACCTTTATAAGATGACCATTATAAAGCACTTCTCTCCAGCCACCCAATATCTTGAATTCTTATCATTTTTCTCTTGCTAACATCAGAAGCTTATATGCTCTTCAGTTGTTTTCCATCTGGTCTAACATAAGCCAATTTCTGTCCTTCTGATCTTTAAATTGATAGCTTTGTAGTTGGCAAAGGAAATGACATTTGAAATAAAAAGGCATTTTTTCCATTTATACAGTACAATGAATTTCATTATGGTTACAATAAAGAATGTAGAATTCAGTCCTTTGTACAAGTAAGTAGTTCTGGCTTTTCACATGTTAGGGACTGCTCCAATTTCATTCCCTTTACCACGTTTATTTTAAGAATATTTTAAAACCATCCCTTTTGTCCATTTTTTACCTGCGTTCTTGTCGTATATGATGCTGGACACTAAGTATTGACCTTTCCTTTGCTGGCTGTCCCTCAAATGATCCGCTCAGCATGCGTTGCCTAGTGCAGGCCCTATGAAGAAATGTAAAGATGATGACACAGAGTTTTTGGTATAAATGATAATTTCAGAGGTAGCACATTCAAAGAAATCAGCTTAGCTTTGTGGGCAGCGAGTACTTGAAGAACAATAGAGAATAACAATAAAAGAGCAATGGACTTTCCATGAAAATATTTCCCAAGCAATGGACCCCCACTCTGCAACACAACCGGTCATTGATAAACCTTCTCCATGCCTTAGCAATGACCATCTATGACTTTTTTTTCAGTCTGCTGTAAAATGTTTGGTCCCTCAAGACTTCACTAAGAGCGAAAGGCATCAAGCAATGCACTAACCATCAGTAAAACCAGTTTCTCAGCAATAAAGAAGGGAATAGAAAAGTACAGCAGCAATTTTAGTCCCTTTCAGCGCTATACATACACACTTAGGACCTAGAACATAACCTGAAGTATTCAAAATAATGGGAACCACATCCAGCATGAAATGAAAAGCTGCACATTGCTGATATTCTGTACTATGAAATGTCTGCTCTCTGGGAATGCAGTCAACTTGCAGCATTTTGTTGTGTGGGTTTTCTCACTTGTTTGCCCATGGTTCATTTTGGTTTTTTGCTTAATTTTGGCAAACATATCTTACACATTTTGGCAGATATTAGTGTTTGTTGGCCAGTAAGTGTGCCACAGCTAAACAGAGCATGCATATCTTTATCTTGATGGCTACAGTGAAATTGATTTGCTTATGAAAAAGAGAGGTTTCCACTCAAAGAGCTCAGACAGATTCCTCTGATGGCTGAGAAATGGAATTTCAACATTGGAAACATGTTTTAACTTTCCAGAATGGTTCAACTTAAAGTTTACAGTATATACTCCTTATCGCTCATTTTGTGTTATGAGATCATTCAGAGAAACACAAGACCCATCTGGTAATATTCCACACTTTTTATTGAACTGAATCCTCATCTTTTTCTGAAAAGATGAAAAAACAATACACCCTTTGTGTAACCACTCTATCTGCCAGTCTGTAAGCCTTAGATAAATGCCTTGACAGCATGGCACTATCATGCTTGATGGCAAAAGGTGTCCATGGCATGTTCTTTCCCCACTGTGGCTTTGTTTTTCACTCTTCTCCACTTTTTTCTCCTTCTTTTGGATTTAAACACATACATGATACAAGTAGGACTCTCAAGTGATATCTGGAACAAAAATGAGAAGCTTAGAATGCTTATCAGTGTCACCACTGCCAATCAGATTAGCATACTAGAAAAATACATTGTGCTACACTTGCTATAGAAAGCATCAGGTTACACTAGACTAAACTAAAGCATCATGACTTATAAGAAAATTACTGCATGTCTTATAAAACATAGCTCATCTTAGACAGATCATGAACATTTTAATACCAAAAGATTTAAAGCATTATATTGTGGAGGATGATACCACATAACACTGTCAGTAAACAGCCAAGGTACTTGAATACCTTTGAATTTTTGATTGAATAAAAGGAAAGAAAAAAAAAAGAAATAATTACTTTCTAAAAATACCTCCTATCTCACTCCATTAAAATGACAATCCAGTTTTTCCCAGAAGAGACAATGAAAATTCTGGGGTCTGAGTTCTGTATAGAGTCTTCTTGGTGTGACAAAGAGGCTAACTTATCTCTTTTTTCCCCTGTAGATTTAAATGATTATGCTCTGCTTCTAATAGTCAAAAATTATATTCTTGACATCAAAACGTAATGTGTACATCAACTTTTCATGCTCTTGTACATAGCAAATTGAATTCCAAGTTACACAAACACTTAGTATTCATAATAAAAGACAGCTTTAATGCTCAAGCAATAAATTCTTTACCTGAATAATAAACAAAATGGCTTATTTGATTGTTAATAATATTGTGAAATAGATATAGCCATATACTATGGGCATACTATGGCAGAATGGGCACGCATAAAAAATAACACCTGCAGAAAGACTTTGTATCTTTCATGGTCTCTAAAAAAAAAAAATCTGTATTTAGCCTTTACATCCATTGCCTCATTTTCAATACCTCTGGAAGCCCTGCAGCTCTTGTGACGTCAACAGAGAAATAATGAAATACCAGTTGTTTAGCACAGAGATCAGAAATTTTTATCAAGTAATTGCAAAGAAACATTTATGTATTTCCAGAAAAGATCTGCTGAAAAGTCCTTGTCTACTTTTGACAGCCTCTCTCCTGGCATTCTCCACTTTTTGGGAATTACTGCCTTTGGAATTAATCTTCCTTGTATGAACTCTTAGTAAGAGCCATGCTTAGTTATCCTTTTGACTCAGAATCTGAATATTTTTCAGCTGCTTAGACACTGAGAGCTGCAGATTTTTGGGGACTTTTGAAAAAGATGACAGGTGCCATGAATTTTTCAGAATTGCAGAGTTGCCAGTTTTAAAGTCTGCAGTAGGGTTTGTGTTCTCACTGTAGACACGTACACGTACAGGCTTCCTCTCAGTGCCTGCCTGTGAGCCATGTGTCCAGGCTTTTAGTCAGCTCATAGCCAGTGGGGATGTAGGGCTCAATCAAATTGGTTGTACAGAGGTGGCCAGAATCACCTGCCATGCCTTGGAGTATTTTGTTTTGCCTCCAGCTGCTGCTCCAGCAGGTTTACACCCTAAACATTGGTGTATTACCTGCCATCTTCCAGAGGATGTTTTGGACATCCTCTGGCATCTCACACATTACTGTGTAGAGTTAGTAGTAGAGTTCATCCCTTACCTCACAGGCAGACTTGGATACCTATGGAGTTGAAACCCACACCAGGCACAATCAACATGCCACAGTGTTAAAAATTCAGTCCCATGTGGTTTGAAAATTGGAATTTTATAAAAACCACATTTCTTGCCTTGATACATTTTTATGTAATTTTATCTGGTCAGAATCTTTTCACTTTCAAACAACAGAGGCAAAATTTAGCTTTTTAACAAAAATTGCCATTTTAGTCAAAATTGCCCTTTTCATCTTCTTATACCACCTCTCTGAAATATTAGATAGATTTATTTTCATTTGTGGAGGAATAAGGAAGGTATGAAACAAAGGAGAAGAAACAAGAAATATCTCAAGCTTCTGGACCTTGTACTCACCTTGCAGAACTCTGAACACAGTTCAGCAGCTGCAAACCACATGCTCCAAATTTGCCTTGAAAAATGCAACTGTAATAAAATATCCTGAACAGAAAATGCAATTTCTTAGGTAACCAGAAACCCAGGTGAAGATCACACAGAACAAGACAATACTGGGATACCATGTAGTTTGTATCACTTGTATTACCTGCAACCAATTAGGAGGTCCACATTTTTGAAGCCCTTCAAACTATTTCATGCTTTGGAATTCCTGAAAAAGAAGTTGTGAACAGAGTGTTCAAGTAACATTCTTTGACCAAATGTAAAATGTTAGAGGTTTTGAGCAATAATTCAAAATACTTTACCTTTCATGAATATTCTGAGGTCTCTTGCAGAGGGTAAGCATGTGGCTCATGCTTGGATTTTTTAGTTAGGCATCCTTTCAGCAACAAGTGTTCACTCATCTTCCATTCCAGTATAACACTGCTTTGGGGTTTTTTTTCTGTATTTTCATGTGTGAGTACTTATGTAGTAATTGTAGCAACTGCATATAGTACTATGTACTTTTGTTGTTCTCCCTGAAACATGCTCACACTGAAGCCTTAGTAGTGTGGGACACTTCAGTCCACTTATCAGCATCATTCAGTACTGTTTTCACTCTCTAGGACTCTCTATCTTTACTAAATCTTTCTATGCTCTCATTATAATTTCATAGAACTTGGACTTAACTATGGTTAAACGTGACATAAATCCCCTAAGATTTATGGGGATTCTACCTGCGAGGCATGGTAGTGTTTCATCCTTTCATTTATAAATTTAATTTAATAAGGCACTTTTTGAATAGCAAGCACAATGCACATTTTTACTACATCTATTCTACTATTCTTTGTGGGGAAAATACACTATTTTTAAAAGAAATCTGAATATGGCTAGTGAAATAAAATTGATTATTAATGCAACTTGGATAAGTCTTTTTTTCTTTTCCATGTTTTTTCTTGTTTCTTTCCTTATGTCTCTAAAGCCAAAAATCAAATAGTCACTAATTTTCTTTAGTGACTGCTCAGGCAGTGAGCTATAGTAAGAGACTTTCTTTCCTTTAGCAATTTTATTGTGATTATCATTCTTGTCTTGTTGTTTCAGCTTCTCTTCTCACAGATGTTTATATAATAACAATTTTTATTGGACTGTAGAAGAATCAATAAAAGGAATTCAGAAGAAGAAACCGCAAGTTGCTATCCAGTCTACTACCTCTCTCAAAACGGGATCAATTCCATACCTGCAGTGCTGGAGACTCCATAGTCCAAAAACTCAGCTTCACAACCGTGCTTTGCAGTAATCCATAATATGGTGTTCATTTGGCACAAACCCCATGAAACAGAGTAACTCCTTTCCAATGGATATATGTATTTCTTTTTGTTTGTCTTTGCATCAGACAGGTGAAATCCAGTAATGTTGTACACTTGTAGAGATTTAGGAAGGTGGTGACTAAGTCTGGATGTTGCACGGGATATCACAAATCATCAACCGAACTTACCTGGAAGATTTGTTCTGAGAAATGCATGGGGTCAAACCCTCAAACTTATGAAGAAAGAAATCATATTCTTAAGAGAGAAAGCATAAAATATATGCCAAGAAATTTGTTGCAAGTCAGAACCAACTAATACAAGTCAGTTATTTAACAAAGGCAAATTTCTAATAAAGGATGCCAAAGGTATATCTTCTATGATCATGGACTCATAGAATCATTTAGGCTAGGAAAGATCTTTGCTCATTCTCTGCATTAATGTTCAGGGAGATTTTATTTAGAGACAAAATTTATAGCTTTTATAGGAATCACTCTATTTTGCAGAAATACTTGTATGAAAAAAGTCTGAATTATCTTCTAGCATATTCACAAACTAGAACAGGATCCTTAATTCAAGCAATTCTTTCTCCCCTTTTTTTCCTTCCCCCCCTCCCCCTGCCCCCAACCCCAGCATTCTCAGTTAAAATAAAGATAAATGCACTTGGTTTATGAAATGGAATGTTCTACTTAAGCATGAATTATGTCCCTCAGGACCAGACAACACATCAGACAAATCTTGTCTAGAACAGTGAAAATCCTGTTGTACACCCTAGTATCAGTTTATAGTTTGACAGTAGCATCAGCTGTAATGAAAAGCAAATAAAAAGCTGCCCATTTGGAAAAAAAAAACCCCAATGTTTCAATGTTTCCCAAACTGTCACAATATATATTATATATATATATGTTGTACAGTCTCCTTCCCTGGAGATATTCAAAAGGTGTCTGGATGTGGTTCTGGACAACTTGTTCTGGGTGGTCCTGCTTGAGCAGGAAGATTGGACCAGATGGCCTCCAGAGGTCCCTTCCAATCTCAACCATTCTCTGATTCTGTGAAGCATGGTTTAATGCACACCAGAATCAGATTTTGCACTATTGACACTTTGAGTATGTTTTAGACTACGTGAGATCACTTTTAATTTGCTCATTTTCCCCACCATTCTGTGCTGTTTACAACTTATCCTCAGCACTGGAGAGAACAAACTGATTTATACACACCATTTTTACTGGACCCACTTTATTCTCTCTACTTCAGAAAGCCAGTGGGACTAATAAAGGACTAGACCCCATTCTTAGATAATGATCCAGCAAGGAATGAGGGTCAGGAGAACCACAGGCACAAAACTTGCTTTTAAGAGAAAAAGCTGTGCTTGCAGCAACACAGAGTGAGAGAAAAGCATGAAGCACTGAAGACATGCAGGAGAAAGTAAATTTGCTAGAAGTGGTTATTGCTGCTGAGGGAAATGCACTGTAATTTTCAGAAAGGAATGGAGCTGTTTGCAATTCAGAGGCACTGTTAAAATGGAGCTTGTTTCAAAAAAGTTGTTCTAAAGGTCTCTAACTCCTACTTTATTTATTTTTCAAGGTTGAAGTCTTCACCTCAGAATGGATTTATGTGAAGAGTTAAGGCCTTCATGCTCTGGCACTGGTGATGCAAAGCACTGATCAGAGTCAAAGTATCAGGACAGTAGTTACTACATCCTTGACTTGGTTCCCATGCCTAATTGCATAAAGACCTCAAGGAGCAAGGTGAAGGTGCCTCTAAACAAAGAAACTCAGAAATGAGACACCTCCCTGGAGGTGTGGCAAGAAAGCTGCAGGAAAACAAAGACACCCAAGACATCAGTTTTGCTGCATAATATAACAGCAGATGAGCAGGTGAGACACCTAGGACTGAGTCCATGAACCATCTCTCTTGGTGTTCAAGGGCTATGGATGTCCTTCTTCCTCATCTTGCGGAAGAAGATGCCAAGCTGCAGTTCAGCATATAAAAGTAAATAAAGTTTGGATAGAGAAGGATGCACAAGAGAGACATGAAGGTACCTATGTGTAATGCATGGTCCTTCTATACAGCTGAATATTGCAATATTCACAATTTGATTAAAAAATAATTTGGCAAGGTTTAAAAAGTAGGTGGGGGGAAAGGTCAGAGGTGGACTTAGGCTGGAACAGACTTAAAATTCCCTTTCAACACAACAATTTTATCAAGCTGAAGTTGCCCATGGGCAGCTTTACTATATCGAGGTATTGCTTTGAAAAATGCTTCTTAATTCAGGTAGACAAAAATCAAGATTATGCTGGAAGCAATCTTTTCAGAAGGGACATTCTGAGTTATCTCTTATTGTTCTTGGCATAAATGCCATTTCTTCTTTTGTCAGATACTCTGAATAGCTGAGAGTCATCTAATTTTATGAAGGAGTTTACAGCATTTACTACTAAAGCAAAAATAAGAACTAGAATCTCTCATGCGTTGAGAGTTCGAATTTTCTTGTGTTACTTAAACTGGATCTAAAGTTTTAGCTGTAAATCTTATCTCTTCTTTTCCTGTTAGTAAAATTCCCTTGCATCAACAGTGCTGTCACTGTCATTAACATAAAAACACTGGCAGTGCTCAGGACCAGTCAGTCCATCACTGGCAATCTCTATCCATTTGCACACGAGATATGCCATGAACACAATCTTCTTATGCTGGAACAGATGCATTGCAAGTGTCACTAGATCAGAGCTTATTTAACAATTTTCAGTCAGTAACAAGAAACAATAAACTATATTTGTTCCTTTTCTCAGTAGAGAGAAGACTCTGTAAGACTCTTTTTAAATGACTTACAAGCAGCCCAAGAAAGCATTAGAGGACACATGATCCATATTTTTCATACCTGATGGAAGTTCTTTCCTTTTCTCTGTGTTCCGCAAAGTTTATTGCTGATGACCCAGGAGATAGATTGGAAAACTCAGTAAAGGTAGCTTAAATTATCAGATTAAATAGATAATTAAAAATAAAATAGTAAATTAGTAAATGAAAACTTTCTTCTCTGTTTCTGAAACTTCAGAGGAATTCAGGTAAATTGATAAGAAGTCCTTTTACATACAAGTCTTTGGCAGAAGCCATGATCTGAAGGCCAAGTGGAATTCAGCAGGATTGAAATTGGCAGGACTGCTTTCTGGCTCTGTCCTTGTATCTCTGAGAACTTAGTGAAGTCCAAACAATAGTTTGCTTTGATTCTCTTCCCACTATTTCAGACGTCTCCTGAAAAGGAGGAAGTTCTGTGCAGACGGGAAAATTCTGAATTTCAGTTTCCAGAATTTAATTTTTTTCTCCTACCTAAGAAAGAATGTAGCTTCTACAATATTAGGGACTAAAAAAAAAAAAAAGAATATGCAAAAGTAGGGTTTTTTTTTCCTTTGTCTATGTTTTTCCTGTGTAGTATAGTGTATGAAACACACCAAACAAACTGACATTTGTGAAACCCTGGAGGTGTCAATAACATTTCACAGGTCTCATATAACACAGAATTTCATTACAAATGTTTTACTGAAATACTGCCAGGATGCCTGTATCTAAACCTGTATTTTTAGAAGTATTTTGCTTCATCTATCTGTAACAGTAATACCTGTAAAATCAAGGCACACGAGTGAAAGAAATACTTACAAATAGTGCACTAAGATTGTTAAGATTGAATACTTATGGTATTGCATTTACATTTATCAATAACATTTTTACAGTGAGTATTCATTTGAATTAGTAATTGTTTATGTTGTCATTACACAGGTTTAAAGACAGAAAAAATTTCATGTTAATTTCTACAGTTCTCCCTGTGCTATATTCTTATAGAGCATTAAAAAGAACCAGAACAGCAAAACTTCCCAAATGGTATTCAAGGAACTTCATCATTCAGAAATCACACAGAACCCCTAGTTCACTGCTCCTCATAAAGCATTGCCTTACTTAATCTGTACTTTTTAGATCAGTATTCCTGTTAATACTGTGTATTTACCTGGGACCTCTCACCGACAAAATGCAAACATAAATACAAAAACAGTGACCTATAAATTGTTTCCATTATTAATGCACCTTATGTTGAGAACAGTCATTCTAATGTAAAACCAACAGTGGCATGAAAAACTGCAGCAAGGAGTTACCTAAATGATAACTTCAGAAATGGGTCTTGGAGACTTAGGCTTGCATTATTCATTTACAGTGCTGAGCAGTTACTTGATATGGAATACCAAAAGCTGTGATCATTATTAAAGCATTCAGGAAACCTTTCTACAGAAGTCACGGTTTTGAAATCTTCACTGTCCATGAGGTACTTGGAATATGATTAGCTGTAGTCTATGCTTTTCAGTGCACAATCCCTGCAAACATTTATGTGCAGATATTTGCAAGAACTGGAGTAAAACTCTAAAATAACACCCCTTAGGAACAAACATGGTTAATTTAGAAGGAAGAAGTGAAAAGAGCTGAAACATGATCTTATGCATGATACAATTGAAATATATATTGAAGAAGTACAATCCCTCTCTTTTTGCTGCTCAAGCATATAAAATAGCCAAAGAGCAATTTATCTTTGCTAAAGAAAGCAACAGATGTACCACAAAGGGATACACTATTATGAATATTATATATGCAGTAACATGAGTAATAAACAAAGTTGTACGAAATCAGATGACAGTCAAAACAATATCAAATCACATCTGACTCTTACCTTAGAATTTTATTGATTGCTGTCTCTTTTTCCAGAAGGTTTCTTGCTCTGATGCTGAAAACAGATTTACGGAGCTGTAAAATTAAGAAAAAGACAGTAAACTTTTCAACTGTCTTAAAATATAACTTGTGCATGTGACAGAGCAATTAAATATTATGATGCTGAGTGCATAAAAAGGATGTGAAAAACAACCAAGATACTTATGTACATCTTTTGGCCTTCCAATCCCAATTGTTAGGCAGTTCTGTGTAGAAAGAAGTATATAGTTTTGCTGGCTAGCACAAATTTGCTTTATTACACATTTCTTCTCCAATTGGCCAAATAACACTGTTTTGCTACTCCTTTTCCACTTTGGATTTTGACTAGGCTGGATCATACTCTGGAGATGCCTTGATTATACAAAAGAGCCAGCAAGCAAAGCTCAGATGCATCATTTCAATGCCTTTTTTTTCCCCACAGATGCAGAGAAAAAAAATGTGTTCAGCAAAATATGCTTATGCTTGCTTCTGGTCATGAACAGTTTCAGGAATCTTCTTGTGAACAGGAGGTCCTGAACGTGAAATGAAAGGACTGATGAAAAAACAAGCAAGTGATTAACAAACATGGCAAATCAAGGAGCAAACCACAGCTGAGGAATTTAGCTCAGGAATTGCACCTGTGATGAACAGAAAGCCTCTGGCACATTGTAAGACTTAAATCTGTCAACTGTTTGGAGACCATTATCTTGAAGAAAATGGTTGAGAGAGATCTGGAAACTCTTAGCAATCTGTGTCCTGGTTTTGATCAATCTGAAATAGAATCTTTAAGCACATTTCTTTACATGTTCTTTAAATTTTCTCAGACACTAGCTCAAATCCAGTCATTCAACAAATAATTTTGTCAGAACTTCTCTGATGACTCATATTGACTCTGAGTCACAGTAAGATCTTACTTTGTAGATAAACAGTACCTTAGAAAATTTCTTAAAAACTTGTTAATTATACTGGCTGTACTTAATAAAATGGATTCTGCTTTTTAAACCGCAACTGTTACAGCAACCTACAATCTCTTTCCTACCCCTTGCCTTTACAAGTGTGGCCCCTTTAACCTTTCTCATCTCTTCTCTGTACAGCCTGTAGAAGTAGTAACACAGATGATTTGAAAACACCCCTATTTTGAGAATCTCTGGGTTCCTGAAACAACTGGCAACTTGAAAATGGAAATGAGGTATGTAACACTTCAGAATGTAATTTGGAAAATAAGGTATTGGAATTTCAGTTAAGATTACAGAAAGAGTAATAAACTTGTTGAATATTTGAATATAAACAAGAAAAAATTCCATTGCCTGGATATGGTAAACATAAAAATAAACTGAAAATCCTAGTATGAGATATAGCTGCTGAGGAATACATCCAGTGCAGGCAGCTGCAGTGTGAGCTGCAGGTTAAGTTCTAGGGATGCAGGAGCCGGAGCCCAAGGCAAGAGGCCATGAACTGATGACCCTTTGCCTAACAAAGGCCACAGGGACATATGGTACTCAAAGACATGGCAGGAGCTGATGACCCCAGACTTTTGTTTGTTTAGACTGTGAGGGTATAAATGTCCAGGGTGCCTTTGCTTGAGGGTCTCTCCTTGGAGGCACCCAACTCAAGCTGCTGTTTTGTATTTCAGTTATTGTAACAAGATTAAATCATTTTAAGGGTCTGGATGTCTGGGACTGTGCTTTGGGAAACCTGTGGTAGAGCTGGTGAGGAAACCTGGTGTGCCTGTGTGTGGGGTGTGTAGCTGGGGAGGGGACTTGGTTATGCAAGAGTGACTGCCAAAGGGGCTCCTGGATAGTCAGACAGGGAATTAATATACCATTATAATAAATATTCTGTAGGTATAAATATATCATATATTGAAACACAGTTGTGTAGGTTTTAATTCATTTGCAGTATCTTGACACATGTTTAGTGAATTTATCAGCATTGGACTTTATTGGAGCTCAAACTTATGGGAATAATGATGGTGGAAAACCAGAAGTTTTGTCTCAGTTCTTTTTTCCTGTTATAAATAAATGCTTTAGAATAATTGTAACTTCATGAAACATCAGAGAAAAAAAAAGTGTGCTACGTATTAATGCATTATGTCCATTTATTTCTAGTAATAATTCTTTTTAGCACCTTAGAAATTTAGAAGATTTCAAACTTAGGAAGCATTAATTTCCTACCAATTTTCTAGGTTTTGTCCATCTGATTTATGTAAAAAAAGCTGAGTCATATAAATTTTTCTTGAAACTTTCTACAGCTCCTTATCTGTCATAGAGCACTTCTTTCCAGTGTTTAAATTAGGTGACAGAACACCTTAGCCTTAAAGGTTGTGGTCCAAACAAGGAAATTCACCCAGGTCATCAACAAGGGAACATGTCCTGGGAAAGCAGGAATGAGGAGTCTACATATTTCTAAAGATTCCACAAGGATGTTGAGCAGTCACTTAGTGCTTCCATAAGTCACTATCTAGTGCCAGCAACAAGAAAAGCATCTAAAGATATGCTGGCAGGTCTAAGACAAGGGCTACTTATCAGGGAATGCTGAACCCTCACTCTAGGCACCAAGACTAACAAAGCAGACAGTGGTGTATGTTTTGCATAAAACCACTGCTAAATCCCTATGCCACCCCAGCTGGAAATGGTTTGACCCCCTATGCTTGATGCCTTCAATGAACACCGTAGTTGTCTGCTGGGGATGTGCAAGAGCAGTGCTGTACTACAATATTTGGCTGTCACACAGTCAGAGGTGCATCAGCCAGAGAGGTGAAGGGAAGCTGTAGGAAGGAATGTATGTCTGGAGCCACTGAGATGGGAGAGAACTGGGCTCTGTTTGCATTTCCAAAGCTGTTCCTGAATTTTATTTAGTGAGTATGTGCAATAGAATTATAGAATCGTGGAATATGCTGAGTTGAAATGAACCCAAATGATCACGAAGTCCAACTCCTGCCCCTGCACAGGACACCATAAGAGTCACACCATGTACCGGAGAGCATTGTCCTAACACTTCTTGAACTCTGTCAGGCTGGTGCTGTGGCCACTTCCCTGGGGAGCCTGTTCCAGTGCCCAACCACCCTCTGGGGGAGGAACCTTTTTCTAATATCTAACTCAAACCTCTCCTGATACAATTTAAGGCCCTTCCTTCTAGTTCTGTCACTGATCACCAGAGAGAAGAAACCAGTGCCTGTCCCTCCTCTTCCTCTCATGAGGAAGTTGTAGACCGTGATGAGGTTTCCTCTCACTCTCCTCTCCTCCAGGCAGAAGAGATCAAGTGACCCCAACTGCTCCTCATTTGGCTTCCCCTCCATGCCTAAGAAGTCACAGGTACGGAGAAAGCTATGAGAACAGGATGTTGCATTACATTATTTGTGCAAAGTGCATTTACTTTTCCTTCACTTTTTTCAGGACTAGCTGTGAAACTTACAGCTGAGACAGGACATCCTTAGGCACTGACCTTGGCACACCCAATGGACTGCGGCTTAGGTGAAGTTTTGAAGGTTTTCTTACAATCCTGTCTGCGTCTGGACTGTGATGGAATTTACATTGGAGTCAGGTATCCGTTCTTTAATCTAGGAATACATAGGCATATACAAGATCCTAGAGTTTGGTGCCTAGAGGTCTCAGTTGTCCAAAATGGAATTCACAAAACAACCTAGGCACTTCCAAGGATTATGACTTTTGAAGACAATGGTCCTCCTTTCTCTTTCTGAAGGAATCAGGAGCCATTCCTTCAGCAGAACACTGGTGAATTTATCTTCAGTTAAAAATATCCAGAAGAAGCAATACAAGAAAATACTCTTAGATAAGCACAATTGATCTATTTCTCATATTCAAAGGAGTCAGTAGTCAGTCAAATAGCAACACACATATGTCAATATGCATGTTGAAGAAAATCAAACATTACTATAGATTTTTAAAACATGCATCCTTATTTCTATATTAGATAAATGAACTAAACGACTTCCCCTTTAATTTTCCAAATTTGCATAGCACACCAGGCAAATGCAATGGGACTGTACAAACAGAAAATGGGGGTGATGATAAGTATTTTGTTTAATAATGTCTAGATGCCTCATGCTGGTGTAGAATGAGGCTGGCAATTAAAACTTGTGATACCTGCCGAGTTCTGGAATGTTGCAGAGGAAATTATAAACAGTGTTAACATACAAAAGACATTACTCAATCAGAAAATGTGAAATTAAATAATTACAGTACACTCTACTGAGGTTATTTTGGGGTGTATCTGTCTAGCCTGCTGGGTTTTTTTATTACAGATTGTGCTGCACTGTGAGGACACCCTCAGTGTATCTTTATTAGTCTTATTTATTTATTTATTTACTTCCCTCTACCACTGATAAGTACACTTCATGCAGAAACCACAGTGCCATATAGCTTTCTGCTAAAGAACATTATTCTTTTAGCATATGATACTGTCTTGAAATCACCTAACAGCATTTGATTACTCTAAAATATGTTTTCAGCAACACACTTAAAATAACTCTTGCACTTTACTTTAAACTGCAAGGACCTGCTGTGGCAAGTCAGCAAATTCCCAATAGTATTTCCTGAATGGAAAGGTTTTAGATGGATATAATGTGCTGCTGCTAAACCATGAATAAAGCTTGTGTCTTGGTGAGCTTATTTACACAGACATGACCACAGCATTATAAAATCTGCAGGTAATGCTTCTCTACCACAAGTGTTGACCCTTTGCTGCTGTTGGCAGGACAGACCTTAGACAGACAAAATAATTCAGTTCAGTCAGAGTGAACTTGGTCTAAATGCTCCATCCCATGAAATCCCATTTGTCGACAAGGACAAAGCCATGGTTGTAAAATAAGCTAAATCACAGAACATTGTTGCTCTGCAAGTGCCACCCACTGCTTTGAAAAGGTACTGCAGACACTTTCAGTAATGTTTATTTAGTAGTGTATTTCAAAAATACAGGCTTTCTACCCTGGAAGAAGAAAATCCTTGGCATAAGATGAAAAGCAAAGCAACACAAGAAAATACCTTTGTGAAGTGTCAGGAAATGAATGTGGACCAGTTCTACATACTAGATGTACT